GAACTTGGACCAAGTTCCAGCATCGTGGACACAGCTCAGCGTGAAATGACTCGTCAATCGATGTCGAAACGATGCTGAATCGTTTTCGCTTCAACAAATCAAGATTTAGACCGGTCTTTATAATTCGGGACGTGGGAAATTAGCTGTATCTGATAAAAATTATCGCCAAATAAGTAGGATTTGTATGCGAAACAGAATGCAAAGATAACGTTGTATGTATTTTACAGTCAATTGCGTGGAGAAATTCGAGATCACGATAGGAGACGTTAAAAATTATAAATTCATTCACCTGGTTAGTCAAATCGCAGTTATTAAAAATATAATGCTATACTTGATGCAACGCTCACGTGTTGCGATGCGGGAATGCACTTTAAATGTTTACCCGCCTCGTAATTAATTACGTGCCGGGCTCCGTTTACACAGCTAACTAACGATAATTGTCCGCACGTGTTAGTGGAAAATTGATCTTCTCTCATGAGGACGCGGAAAGCAACTAATTGAAATCGATGCGATAGAACTCGAGATAACGACGCGTCCAAAGAAATCGTTTAGCTTTTTTCCTTCCTCTTTATTTCTGCACGGATAAAATACTGCACGCGCGATTCTGAGCGCGGTCTGAGAATTAGAATGCGAAAAACGGCTTCCATCGACAGCTCGTTGCGCCAATTTACGCGGCGACCGATCTATCGTTCTGGCGAGTCTTCGTGAAAAATGTTCGCCGTAGAAAGAGTCAGTTGTGCGAAAATGCGACGCATTATAATTGGAAACGACCGCGGACATTTGCGCGACAGTTTGCAATTTCCTTTGACCCTGTCGTTGAATACGGCATATTGATATTGCGCGACGCGGCACATTGAAATTCTATCGCGATGACCGATAATTCGATTCGCCACGGCAATTCCACGATAAACTTTAACAATAAGTAGATTTCACTCCTGGGTCAATGAATTCATGGTGGAACCACAGATAACGCCCAGAGGAAAGTCTTCTATTACGAGATAGGATTCTAATAGCAGGTTTTCAACGTCCAAATTCAATCACAAATCTAAACGCGAATTTGTTCAGTTTTCCTGCCTTCTAATTCGATTCGTTCCACTTCGCGATCTCGAATTATATTCCGGTTTATTAACGTTACTTATTTGTAAGGATATTCGTAAACACCTGTTTGACCAGTACACAATCATATTCGCGTATTGACGCATGATTTATTGATTCAGTGTTCATAAACAGCAGTCATAGTTTGTCTTAGTTTCTTTATCCTCGTTATTTCGCGGGGGATCACTTCGTCAGTCGTATTCTTGATAAATGCAATCGTGGCAGGACGCGATACAACCCGGCAATCACCAAAGTAACAGTTACGTAACATCAATATAACATTAATGTAAATGTAATATATAACACACGTGTTATATTACACTTTGATCGATCTTTTTCGCAAGGTCGTATCTCGATTTTACATAATTTTCGGCTTTCCTGCTTAAACGGTCATTTAGGATCAGAATGAGCGTTTAAACAGAGAAACTGTGTAAAACCGAGATGCGATCTTGCGAAAGAGATCAGCTGATTTATATTGATGTTACATTGATATTGTGTAACTGTTACTTTGGCGTGTGCTGGGAAACTTAATTACAAAACGCTTATGCTAGAACGAGGACTCTAATCTTCGCAGGTGACGTGAAAGCACACACGCCGGAAGGAAAGGATCTCCGAAATACATACGAGTATCTCGCGCACGATCCTTCTCACCTCCTCCCTCTCCTCCACCAGAGCTCTCATTCACGTCATCCGGAAGAGTGTTGCAATATATTGTCGCGTTATCAACATCAAAACAACCAACATGACGGAGATTTCAAATTCCTTGTTTTAAATTACAGCAATTACTAATATACTTTTGTTGGAGAATTGACCTTTACTGATTGAGAAAAAAAGTATGCCAATATACATTTTCCACCAATCGCTCCAATTTCAACGTTTTCAACGTGTACCGAAATAAGGCTGGTTGTTCTAATGTTGAGGTATTCGTACGCCTTATAACGCCTTGTTAAAATATAATACATAATATCTTATCTACCGTGAGAGAATTCTACACGACTCAAACATCGCGTGTGAATCTTAAATATATAATCGCTCGAAAATGTTCACGTTAATCCAGCGAGCCGCAGAACCAATTCCTTCGCTTTATCCATGATGCAAAATAGAATGGGGTCGGTGTATCACCTGTGTTGCGATAACAAAGAAGCATGAAAGAAGCGCACGACCGTCGGTGACAGCCGAGAAGACCCCATTGGCGTACTTTAGCAGAAAGTGTTTGGTCGCAAATGCGACTTTTTCGTCCATATTGAGCAATTTGCCTGACTTAAGAATATATTTAATATTAACTCTTTATCCGGTAGAAGAATCCGATATGTACTCGGGCGCGTAACGTAAGAACAGCTGATTCTTGTGTGCCGCGTTTCGAACTGACAAGAATCATCTATTCACAATGTTTGTATATTCGGTGAGAGCAAGCGTTGATAGGACTTCGGTCGCGATAACAAATATACGTGATAAGAAATACTCGACACTACCGAATAAAGAGTCGCGTTCACGAGCGATAAAAAGTCGCCTCACGCGTTATCGCTCTTGCGTTATTGCTTCCGCGGCTCAAGTGCAGTCCGTCGCGTGATCTTGGCCCCTTCGGAGTCCGCGATTCAAGGCTGTCAAGAGCGGGTACTTTCCGCATCCGCACATGCCCTTGAAATCGTCCAGGTCCATGGACCAGATCATTCCGCCGCCGAGATTCAGCTTCCTTATGAACTCAGCCTGACAAAGAGATGGATGATTTAATGAACGAGGCAACTCAATAGAGAAATAAATAAACGAATAAGCGTATTAAGTGTGTTGAATGTGTTCACAGTTATCGAGCGCTTCAAGGTTGCAAAACACTGCGCTGGATTCTTACTCGATGACCGTCGCGAGTTAGCGATCGTGTGTACTTAATGGATCACGTGTTTGCGCGAACCGTTTGTAAAACTGGTGATGCATCATAGAGGAAAGTCCCTTATTACGAGATAGGTTCCTAATATAAGACAGTGGGTTTAAAACATCCAATTTCATAAATCTTTTTCCACAACAGTTACACGGATCTAACGATGAATTGTTCACTAACAATAAGTATATTTGACTTCTGGGCCAATAAATTCATGGTGGAACCACAGATAACGCCTAGAGGAAATCCCTTCTATTATGAGACAGGATTCTAATACGAGATAGCAGGTTTTCAACGTCCAAATTCAATCACAAATCTGTTTTTGCAACGATTACACGATCTACCAATCAACTTTTCACTAAACAGATTTCACTCCAAGGGCAATAAATTCACGGTGGAACGAACAGATGACGTCTATTAATTTGGCAGAAACTCCGTTATCTCATATTAGGGGATTTTCCTCCATTAATTTAGCGGAAACCCCATTGTCTCATATTAGAAACCTGTTCCAGAGAGAAATGATTCGTTAATCGATGTTGAAATGATCGATTCGATAAATAATTTCTCACTGGGGTGTCTCGCGACAGGGAACTCTCCTCTACGTATATCGGAACGTGAGCCTTATACGTCGCACGTACCTTTCTCGCCACATCGGACACGTCGTCGTAGCTGACCCACTGATCGTGCTTCGACGCATACGGACCCACGCGGCCCTTCGGGTCCTTCGTCACGAACCAGCCGTCGTTCTTCACATTATCGCAGATCTGCGTAGCGACATCAAAGAGTGAGAGACCTAACGGTAATAGCGTGGCGATTCGACTTGTACAATGTCGCTGGCTTTTACCTCGTGATAAGCTAGGAAACCGGCCGACCTCGTGAATTTGCCGGGTTCTCCGGGCCCGGCGGTCTTCGCGCGGAAACCCGGCCGCGAAAGCCCGATCTGATTCTTGTCCGGGTTCTCGGACAAGGTGAAGCTCGATCCGTAGGTGGGTATACCCAGGACAATCATCTCGGCTGGCACGCCCTTGTCGATCCAGTAGGTAACGGAGAAGTTCGCGTTCTGGAACGGACTGATGTCGTCGGGGTGATGGTAGAGCGGCGCGACATGGCCGGTCTCGCTTCCCCAGCCGGTGTGATAGTCGTACGCCACCACGGCGATCCAATCCACGTATCGCGCTAAGAGCGGGATGCGGGTGTAGCCCCGGTCGACGACGATCTTGCTCGCCGAGACCGCGATGGATAATAGCAGTCCTTTAGATGTAAATGCCTCGTTGAGATCTTCGAGCAATCCGATGAAGTTTTCGCTGTCCTGCTGAGGACCGCGGCTACAATCGCCCTGTCCGAGACATTTGGTTTTTAACTGGTTTCTACAATTGAGCTGTGTGTGTATTTGTACAAAATAATTTCTTGCTTAATATTGAAATATCCGTTTTGCTCAATCTTTTTCCTAAATCGGAATTGATATATTCCTTGGAGTATCCCTGATATTTCACGGTGAAAGAATTGTTATCATTACACTGAGAAGAAGGAAAGGTATTTCGGTTTACCTGCCAGCATACCGGAAACTCCCAATCGAGATCCAGACCGTCGAAACCGTACTGCTCGATGATTCTTATGACATATCCGACGAATTTTTTTCTAATCGGCCGCGAACTGCCGGCTAGTCTGCTGTACTTGTCGTCCTTCGAGTCGTTCCATCCACCTAGACCGAGCAACACCTTAACGCCGTTTCTTCTTCTAACTTCCGCCGCTTTGTTGAGAAAACTCCTGTAGACGTCGGCGGAGTCGTCGATGTTCAGGAGAAACGTCTCCGCGTCTAGCGTAGCGAAGGCGTATACGATGTGCGTGCAAAGCTGCCCGTCGATGTCCTCGGGCGTGAAGCTGCCGAAACTTGCCCGCCTCCAAGCCCAATTCGTATAGTAACAAACCACCTTCTTTTCATTTACGTTCTTGGCGAGTCTAAATCTCGGCGATAGGCTGCTCTACGAAATCGACAGAATAAATCTCGCAGTTTTTTTTTATGTCGACAAGTGCTTTACGTATGTGTTAAAACGCTCCGCTGATCAAAGACTTTTATTCATCGCGATACGTACTTGACGTTGTGTAGTATTGCACTTGGTGTTCTCCGGCCAGTCGCATCGGTCGTCGTTCCAGTAGAGTCCAGGTGGACAGGACTGTTCCGTGATCTTGCCGAAGTTGCACAGATAATACTTGGTGCAGTCGCTCTTGTGCGGTATGAATAAATGCCCTCCGCAGTCTGCCGGAGGTGGTGGGCTGGCTTCGATCTCGATGGTGTCGTCGATATCTGGATTCGATTCAGTCGTCACCGTTATCGGAGTCGCTGCTGGTGGAATATATGTTGGTCTTGGTGATGTGGTAGACTCATATATTGGACGTTCGGTGACGGTTGTGGATTCGATGTCGGTTTCCCCGACGTCGGTCACAATCGTTTGTGTACCTATCAATCGTAAGAAGTAATATATAAATATTATAAAAAAGTCATATATAGAAAACACGTGTATTTTTAAGAATAATACAATCTGAACTATATATTTTTCTATATATCGTATATCATTGAGATAATTTTCTGTTTTGAAAATGATTAATAAACAGATCTACCTTCCGTAACAGGACACAGCGGGCCCTTCGGATAATTCCTCAAAACTCGATTCATCGTCCTCAATAGCGGACTCGGCTCGCAGCCGCATCTGTTCTTGAAATCGTCCAGGTCTAAAGCCCAAACCATACCACCGCCGAGACCAAGTTTCTTGATGAGTTCCGCCTTCAGTTTGATTTGTTGCGCGTCGTCGAAGCTCACCCACTGATCACCTTTGTAGGCGTAGGGGCCGAGTCTTCTCTCTTTATCTTGAACAACCGTCCATCCCTTCTTCAACGTTCTTTCGCATATCTAACATAAAAAAAGAATAGATACCTGTTTACTCCTGGAATAAATTTTTGGGGCATAATTTAGTTGATTCCTTTATTACTTATTATATATTTATTTACGTTTTTAATATTTCTTCTTTAGAAATTCTGTACTGACCTCGTAATACGACAAGAAGCCTCTTGCTCTGGTTGCCTCTCCAGCCTCACCGCCGCCATAGGTTGGTGCGTTTAATCCATGTACATTTCTCTCCGCAAGTGAAAATGATTGGCCGTATAATGGGGCGCCCATGACCAATTTTTTCGGATTTGCACCTTTCTCTATCCAATAATGGATCGAAAAGTTCTAGCGGCAAAACACCAAGAGTATTTGAAAACTTCCAATATTGTCAGTAATTTTCATGCTAAATAATCATCCAAGTAAAACTTACGGCATTAAATGTCGGTTCCCAGTCATTCGGTAGAGAGTACAATGGTGCTACGTGGCCGGTCTTTTTATCCCATTGACCATGAAAGTCGTACGTCATCACGGATATCCAGTCCAGGTACTTAGACAAGATGGGAACGTCGTATCCCGCGTCGATCACCCTCTTGCTCGGCGAGACGGCCGCGGAGAGAAGCAATCCTCGAGGCCTGAACTCGTCGCTCAGTTCCTTCACCAGCTCACCGAAGTTTTGCTTGTCAGACTCCGGGCCTTTGTTGCAGTCCACTTGCCAACATACGGGGTATTCCCAATCGAGATCGAGGCCCTCGAAACCGTACTTCTCGATGAAGACAAGAACTTGCGTAATGAATCTTCGCCTGGCTGACGGCGAGTTCACCAGTCTGCTGTATTTACCGCCGGCCGAGTCGTTCCAGCCCCCCAGTGCCATCAGCACCTTCAGACCCTTTGCCTTAAACGCCGCCACCCTTTCGTAAAACTTGTTATCTATATCAGCCCAGGGATCGTGGGACTTGATCGTTAAGCTGCTACCATCGAGCACAGAGAATCCATAAAGCACGTGGGTGCAGAGATCGGGATCAATATCTTCCGGCACGAATCTGCCACCCTCTTGCCGATACCAGGCCCAGTTAGTAAAGTAGCAGATGACTTTAAACTCATCAGATCTGTCGTGTGTGACACGATCCACTGTCGTAGTTGGCTGTATCGCTTGCGTGGGCTTGACGGTGAACGTCGTCATCGGTGGCGGTGGTGGTTTCCATTCAGTGGGCTTCAGAGGCCTGTCGCGCTCTTTCGGCGGTTCCGCCAGCACTCGCTGGATTGTGTGCATCAGCGGATGAGGTCCGGTGTCACATCGTCCACGGAAATCGTCCAAATCCAGAGCCCACACCATACCACCGCCCAAACCCATATCGCGAATGAACTGGGCCTTCCGTTTGATCATCTCCGAGTCGTCAAAGCTGACCCATTGGCTACCCTTGTAGGCGTACGGGCCCATTCTGCCCTCCGGATCCTGCACCACCGTCCATCCACGATTGCGTACTCGATCGCAGATTTCGTAGTAAGACAGAAAGCCGGCAGCTCGGGTGAACTCCCCGGCGTTCCCGGCGCTGGCTGGAGAATTCAGACCAGTCCCAGCTTTTGGATCGTTGATTGCGAAGGACTGTCCGTACAATGGCATGCCCATGACGATGCTCCTGGGTGGCGCGCCCTTCGAGATCCAATAGTTGATCGTATAATTAGCGTTGAAGTAGAAGAACTCATCGTCCGGGTGATAATACAAAGGCGCAACATGGCCGGTTCGTTTGTCCCATTGTCCGTGGTAATCGTATGCCATGACGGCGATCCAATCCAAATACTTGGCCAACGCCGGCACGTCGTAGCCCTTGTCAATCACCTTCTTGCTCGGTGAGACTGCCGCCGAGAGAAGCAATCCTTTCGGCTTGAATTCAGCGCTTATTTCTCGCAACAGTGCTGCAAAGCTCTCTTTATCCGAATCCGGGCCCTTGTTGCAATTCACCTGTTGCCAAAATTTTGAAAGAGATGCTAATAAATGAAAATAATTATAAACAATTTATAGATTACAATTTATATATAAATATAAAAAATAGAGAGATGTAGTAAAAAGACATAATAGTATCTAAATTTTAATATTGAAGTCAAGACAACATATATAAAGACGATGACGAATGAAAGAACGCTGTTGCTTAATATTAAATTGTGAAAGAATGCGCTTACCTGCCAGCAAACAGGATACTCCCAGTCCAAGTCAAGCCCGTCGAAACCATATTTTTCGATAAACTGAATGGTATGATCGATGAACTTCTTCCTAGCGGATGGACTGTTCACCAATCGACTGTACTTGTCGCCGGCCGAGTCGTTCCATCCGCCCAGCGCGAGGAGCACTTTAAGACCTCGCTTTTTATACGCTACCACGCGCTCGTAGAAACGATTGTCATAGTCCGCCCAGGAGTCGTGCGCCCTAATTACCAGCTCGGAGTAGTCTAGCACCGCGAAGCCATACACGATATGCGTGCACAGAGTGTGATCGATATGTTCCGGCAAGTAACGGCCGATCCCACGACGATACCAGGCCCAATTGGTGAAGTAGCACACAACCTTGTAGTAGCCGGACAGCGGGGACACCTTGTCGGGGTCTATAATCGCCGGAGGCAAGGTCGACGTAGGTCCGCTCGTGGTCGACGTAGTCGGTACCGTGGTAAACGCTGGTTGAGTGGTCGGTTTCTGCGGGATTGATGGCCGAGAGGCTGCCGTCGTCGTTGCCGACTGCGTGGTAATTTCCTTATCGCCGTCGTTGTCCGTGCACTTCGCCCGGGACGGCCAGTCGCAGATTCGGGTCTCCTTGTTGAAGTGCAAGCCCGGTGCGCAGCTGAACACCTCCTGGCGGCCCCAAAGACACGCCTGGTAGCTCGTGCAGTCGCTCGGTACGCTGCTGTAGCTGCCGGGGATGCACGCCTAAAGTAATCGCGATAATGATACTTGATATCAATATCAATTATCGAACTGTCATGCGGTAATAAATGGATGAGTTAAAATGACGAATATGCCGGATGTACTGCGAAGGTATGACGTCACATCAGACTGAGAACGCGTACGTTAATAGTGATCGTACATATTAACATCCGAGTGATTACGTTCTGGTGTTCAGCACTATTGTACATTTATTTATATTACTTACAGTTGGGACGGTATCTTTTTCCACGAGTAGGGCATTCTTATGGGGTTGCTCGGCGCATGGATTCTTGAAGGCCCAATCGCACATGTTCTTCTCGGTATTCCAATTTAGACCTGGACCGCACTGCTGTGAAACGAGGTCGCCGTTCACGCAGACGAGGAAGCTCGTGCACGAATTTGGATAGGGATAATATTGTCCATGTTCGCATGGTTTTTGCGGTTTTTGCGTCGATCCCATAATAACGGCAGGTTTCGATGTGGTCGCCATCGTCGTCGTCGTCGTCGTCGTCGTCGTCGTCGTCGTTGATGTTGGCCTGGTAACTTCGGCGGTTGTAGTGGATGGCCTCTTCGTTGAACTCCATGAAGGACCGCTCGTCGTCGAGGTCGAACCTGAAGAAAAGGCAAAAATTCGTAAACCGCCCGTTGTATTTTGCATGATAGAAACCAAGTGTTAAAAATCAACTAAATCGGCACCCCGACGAGAAATTTTCACCCCCTGCACGATGCAGCTTAGAAGAAAAAGAACTAGTATCATGTAGAGATGCTGAAATAGGAAGACCATGGTTTTCGCAGACGCAACGTGAGAGAACGACGCGCAAACAAGCCGGCGTTGCTTGTACCCTTGCCAACGCCAGCGATCTTCCACGCGTTGCGGCGGACAGCAAAGGGAGAGGATGCAAGAATGCTCCTTGGCCGGAGGCGACAGTTAAATGGAAAAGATATGCGATACGCGACAATATTTGCATACGTACGACTCGCAAACAGGTTTGCGTTCATGTTTATCCACGTGCCCGCTTATCGAAATAATTTTTATGGATTATTAAAGAGTCAATGTCATTGCGACGGTAATTTTATCCATAATGTTAACGGGTTAATGCCATCAACTCCACAAAGATTCATATTTCGCAGTGATCGATCGTCGCGTGATCGATCTCGTATCAAGCGGCCAATCTGCGCGCCGATTATTACTCGTCGTTGCCTCGTCCGATCGTTTCGAGCCTTGTAATTATGGAACGTTTTTAAAAATAGAAGAGAAGAGAGAGAAAGACAGACTGATCAAGAAATAGCGTATCCGGTTGATGAGAATAGGTAGTCTTACCAGTTTCTGCCTGGCATTTCGCCGCGGATGGCCAATCGCACAGTTGTCTATTTGCGTCCCAATGTAATCCCGGCGCGCACTGTTCGCGTTTCAACTCACCGCGAACACATCTGTAATAATTTCCGCAGTTCGCGGGATCGCTGTAGTACTCGCCGTTGGTGCAGTTCGTGTCCGGTATGGCAACTGGTTCCCGCGTTGTGGTAACTGTCGGTCGCGTAGTCAGTGTACTGTTAAAAACGATTTTTTTCAACAGTGAAGGAAGAATCAATGAGAGTTTAAGCTAAATAGTTAAAATTAAGGTGACTACATATTTTGCACAAAATAATATAAACGCTAAAGATTTTGGTTCATATCTGACTCTTTCCTGGCTCAACAAAGAAGAGGCTGAAATATAGAAGGACGATCAATCGTGTGATTTGTTTTCAAGATCTGCTTCTACCTCGACGTAGTCGATGCAGCCGTGCTAGGTGCTGTACTCGGTTTTTGAGTCCCATTAGGCTTCGTTACGTTCTCCGGGACTTTGCTGGGCTTCTGGCTGGTCCAGGTCCACATGGGCCATGTGGTCCAGGTTGTCGGCTGGGTCGTGGTACTCGGCTTCTCTGTCCACGTAGGCCAGGTGGTGGCTTTGGTGCTGGACGTTGTCATTGGCGTGGTGGGTCGCGGATTACCGTCCGCGGCGTCGCTGTGAGTAGTTAGGGTCGGTGCTTGGGGTGTCACCGGCTGCGGTGGACGTTGGCAGTTCTCCGAGATGGACGCCGACAAGCGACCTATCAGTCGGAATGATCGTGTCAAAATTATTCAAAGCAATATCAAATAAAGTCTTAAAAAATGTAATAAGGCGTGTAAGAATTAACATAGCGAGTTATAGCGAATTAAAGTACTAATGCATAGTACTAACAAAAATAATGCACGTACCTAGCGCACGGTTTATGGTTTTCAGTAGAGGATACGATTCTAAGCAACAAAGATTCTGAAAATCGTCCAGGTCAACGGTCCACATTGTAGCTCCGCCATAGCCATTCCCCATGATATATTTGCCTTTAGCATAGACACTCTCCCGATCTTCGTAACCTACCCACTGATCCTCGAAATGAGCGCTTGGTCCTGAAATTTTACAGATTTAATAGAGATCATACAAACGTATATATTTTCCCAATGTAACATCTGAGATGCGCGTTGTGCATTGTTACTCACCAACTCCTGCTTTCCAATTGCGCCGCTTGATCCTTTCGCAAATCTCATAATACGCCAACATTCCAGGTTGTTTAGTGAACTCCCCCGACTTGCCGGGACCGGTCGTGGGATCACCCAGTTCGGCTTGGCTCGGCGTCGAAAGTCGGTAGGACTGCCCATACAGCGGGATACCGACTAGAAGCTTGGATTTCTCAGCACCGAGACCGACGAGGTAGTCCATGGTGAAGTTCTGTAATATTTTCGAGCGTGTTACACCCAACGATTTGCGGCTTTCGCGCGACTCGAACTTACGACGTTGTAATAGGGTTTGCTGTCGCCTGGTGACCCGAACAACGGCGCTATGTGTGCCAACTTGGATTCCCACGCTCCGTGATAATCGTACGTCATAACCGACATGAAGTCGACAGCCTGCGAGATCTTGCGCACCTCGTACGCTTTGTCAATGACCTCTTTGTAGCCCGACAGGGCAACGGCCAGCAGAAGAGGCGGCTCCTGCTTGTTAAACTCCTCCCTCAGCTCCTGCACCAGCTTAGTGAAGTTCGGCTTGTCGGAATCTGGGCCCTTCTTGCAGTCGCTCTGCCAACACTTGGGGTAGCTCCACTCGAGCGATAGACCGTCGAAGTTGTGCATCTTCAAAAAGTTTACTGTGGCGATGACAAATTTACGACGGGCGATGCTGCTGCTAATCAATCGAGAGTACTTATCGCCGGAACTGTCGGTCCATCCGCCCAAGGCTAGTAATATTCTCGATCCTTTGATCGAGGTCACTCGCTGGTATAGATCTGTAATAAATTATTCGGAGAATAATTCGGTGAATCATTGGTAATATCTCTTACAATTAAGCGAAAGACTCGAAGTAGCATGAAAAGTGATTCCACAGCTCGCAGAATTCACTTTAAATACGATATTACATTCGAAAGCAGATTCTTGCAAATTATTAACTCAACCAGCCCTGCTCCGAATCCTTCAAATATCTCGGCAATCGGAAGCAGGTGTACTGAATTATCGTGCTCACTATTCTCGACGTCGGCCCAAGGATCGAACGGCTGCACCAGCAACGTCTCGGGATTCAATCCGGCAAAGGCGTAGACAATGTCGGTACAAAGACTCGAGTCCAGGTTTTCCGGCACGAACTTGCCGTCTCCCTTGCGATACAGTGCCCAGGATGTCATGTAACACGCTACTCGCGGACCGGTCTGCTGCAACATCTTTTTCGACGTTGTCGATGATGTGTTTTGACTGACAATCTTATCGAAAACGTTGAGCTTGCAGATCTGTGGGGCCACCGCCAGAGTGGATGCCACACAGCGTCCCTGTACCGAATCAAAGAGCCGATTGTGCCCACAATGACCATGATGCAGCACTCCTGAAGAGAGAAAAAAAATGTATTATTAAAAAGACGCGTGAATTCTGTGATCACTGAATGGCGTGTAAATTAAACCTTTACGATCTCTGATTAATTTGACGGGGAACATTACCTTTGACGCAGGAATAAAACGCGGAACAATTTTCTGGGTCCCTGGAGAGACCATCCTTCGGACACTTCTTGGTTGGAGTGTCCTCGTAGTGTCCCAAGGACCGTACTGCTGCGTTTAGCATCGGCCAAGGATTTCCACAGATACCCTACGAGATTTTAATTGCAACATTCATATGCATATTAAATATGAGACGTCGAAGTAACGTGGATGAGAGAGAATGATACCAAATTGCTGTCTAATGATGAAAACGCTTATAATAAAGAGAGAAGTAAGACTTGCGTTTTACATTCCAAACTATAGTCACTGACAAAGGCCACATTTTAGGACCGAAATGTCGTGTGGCAATTTAACATTGAGCGCACTTTCTGCGTGTTGTTTTATTTTATACAAATGTAATTTTATCAATTACCTAGTGACGGCTTTTATTGCCCCTGTTTCTATATTTTGATTTCATATTAATTACCTGAAAATCATCTAGATCCAGCGACCACAGCGAAATCCCGCCGAGTCCCATCGCGCGGACAAATGCCGATTTAATTTTAACAGATATAGGGTCATCGTAGCCGATCCACTGGTCGCCGCGCTTCACGTACGGTCCTTCCTCGTCTCTGCCAGAGATCCACAAACCTCTTTCTAACTTCTCACACACCTACAGAGAACGATCATTCTTTAATTAATTCACACGGACATTCCAAGTTCTGTTAATATGGTACTTTACCTCATAGTAAGCTAATTTTCCATCGCGCCATTTAGTATAAGCACCCTCCTTGCCAGGTTTCTGAGTAGGCGTGCCGACTTTGGTGAAATTACTGAACTTGACGGTGTACCCCTGACCGAAGAGCGGGACAGCGAGAACGATCTTCGACCGTTGCTCGGTGCCGACTTGCTCGACCCACTTGCTCGCATTTTGCACGATGAAACTCAAGGGGCCCGGATGGAGGACGGGATGCTCCGTTCTCTCGCAAGTGGAACAAGCCGGCTGAACGTCCCGCCAGCTCTTCAGGATTATCAGATCAACGATCGACGCGAGTTCTGGATCCACGGGGTCTTCCGGTTTCAGCGCCACCGCGAGAGTGTACCCCTTTCTAGCTAATGGGGCGCCGATCAGCTTCAGCAGAATCTTGAATTGCGGCCAGTCCTGGGCGGCGGTTGGCCAGTCGAGCTCGATACCGTCGAAGCGGTATTCCTCGAGGAATTTGAGAATGGATTCCCGCAACGGGAAGTCAGTCGAGAGATTGGCATTTCGTTGGATGGCCAGGCTGCGATGCGGACTCGGATGGATGGATATCAGCACGCGCAACGCTGGATCCCTCAAGCGAAGCCCCGTGGCAGCGTTGTATCCGCCTAGCAGAACAATGAAACTTGATATTGATTCTTAAATCATCTAATATCGCGAAAAAGAATATCTGGTATCTCTGTTTCGAATAATATCTTTTTACATTTTTATCTCATAACTGTGACGAAAACTGGTACCTTTAACTCGGTCGTACTCTGGATCATTGGGAATGATGGAGCTTCTTCTGTCTGTAACAGATCATAAAATAATGAAATTGACAATTCGAATAATGAAAGTAACATGTAGAGGAGAGTCCTCTATTATGAGATAGGATTTTGATATGAGATAGCAGGTTTTCAACGTGCCAAATTCAAGCACAAACCTTTTTTCGCAACGATTACACGATCTAACAATCAATTTTCCCCTAAACAGATTTCGCTATTATGTTAATTTAGCAGAACCTCCGCTATCTCACACTAGAAGCATATCTCATAATAGGGGACTTTCCTCGACTTCTACGATCTACGAATATTATTTACCGATGGTAGCTGTGGAGTATACTAGATGGGTGCACTTGTAATCGGGCACATTTCGCGGGTACAAAGAAAACGGTTCTGCTCTGTGAACGGCCTCGGAGTTGAAGCGGCAGACAATTTTGGGCTCGACGATCTGCTGCGTCCTTCGCAAGGTCGGCGGTGCCACGGGCTCGATCCAGATCGACTCGTGATCCAGATCGACGCCGAGAAAGGGCGCTTCGCGATGCTCCACTGCGTCCCTCAAGGGCAATCTAGTCTCGCTACGAACACGAACAATTATACACTTTTGTTTATTGTACGCATTAAATCTAACATTAACATTGTTAAGTCCAAGTACCTCTTATATTAAATCACGAGAGATAAAAAGAGCGATTAAACGATTGCGTTAAAAATAAAAATGAAACATAGCACGCTTCATAAGGCTTCAATTCTCAATAGTTTCAAGTTTTTAGACATACCGCGTTTTTTAAAAAAAAGTCTTAAAAATATCTCAAAATGATTTCAACAAATTAAACGTAGATATTATTCAAAAACAATTGTTAAGATTTACTTAAGACTATTTGGAAGAAGGAAATCACCTTGCAATCGAAGAGATTGGAAGGTTCATGAAAAAGGAGAAGAATACTGCAATCTTACAGTATTCCTTTCCTTGCGCAAAGGTTAATATGTAAATCGTGACTGCGAATTTTTTTTTCTTTTTTTTTTTACGAAACGTCAACGTCGAGAGGGTCAGAGAACTTTAGCCGACTAAATGCTCCGTGAATAGTCACCTCTCGAAGTCGTCTCGGAATGTCGGATTCGAGTTAGCGTCCAGCACGTTGGCCGGCAACGATTCGACCGCGTCGCGCAGGGGATACCTGTGCGAGCCGAACTCATCGTAATCTAAATCATTTGACAGGCGACCGGAGGTCGGCGGAATCGGCGAGCTTTCTACGGCATCTCTCCGGAACGAGGGAAAGAGCCCGCGCTGTTGCTGGTGGTCCCACGGCGGCGGGGGAGGCAGGATCTCTCGGACCGGTACTCGATTCGAGGGGACGGCCGACGATAAACTCGCCAGCCAAGTTAAGATAATCCAAGCCGCCATAGCTAGCTGAAATGACAAATCGCATTGACAGTTTTTACGCGCATCCCTCCGAGAACCTGCTTGCGGAGAGGTCTTCTCTCGAAAATGCGCTATTTTTACGCACGGCTTCTAAAGGACGCAGCCGGTTCGTGCGCGGAGTACTCGGCCTAGGACGTAGGCGACTGCGGCACGCATCGGAATGCGTTTCATGCTGAAGTACGTACGTCAGTTTGATTACCTGCGCCTTCAAGATATCCCGATCGTTCGGAAGACAAGCACGAGGAATCGTGGCGCGAAAAAGAGACGGCCTTGAAGGCGCGGAGAGACTCTTGTCCGCTCTCGTATCGCCTTAATGCTTTTCCTACCCGCGCGCGTGTCTTAGGTATTTATTGTGATTTCCAGTTAGGCCCCTCAATAGCCGGCAATTACTTATGCGGCACGCAACGAATTCAATAACGATCCCATTTAGAATATTTATGAGTCACGGAATGAATATAAATTCCTACCTGTGCTTTTCTTCGGAATGAATAGATTTTTAAGTATGCTTATATACAACAGGATCATTTTTATTGATTTTTTACTATTTGGAGAATTGGAGCTCTTTCGAAAATTTTTACTTTCTGTACCCCAGCGAGAAATGTATCGTCGATCGATGTCAAAATGATGTCGAAGCGACACCGTCAAATTGACGTCGATGCGTCAGACGAGTCGTTTCTCTCTGGGGTCTCTAGTAGCACAGTGCATGGACCAAACATTGATTAAACATTGGCCCGGAACAACCAAATATTGGGCCAATGTTTAACCAAAGTTCGGTCAATGCACTGTGCTACTAGGGGTGCTTCCAGCATCTATATATTCCAGTCTCCGTATACTCTATTGTGTCTCTGAGAAGCGGCATTGGACAATTTACAGCGTTTAAATTAGTCGAGGACAAAAACGCACGGCACTTGTGTCGTCTGTTAAAAATGCGGATCTCGGAGAAAGAACCCTAGTAGCGCAATATATTGGCGCAATATTGAGAAATAATGCAAAATAATGCAAAATAATGCAAATCTAAGATTAACGAGCTTTTTCGGTTGACAGAATTGATAAAGATGTTTTACTAATGAATATACATATCATTACATTTAACACTCTAGAATTGCGGACGCGTTTCGGCACGCGGTGCTTTCATCATCTCCAATTCTGCCAACTGAGAAAGCTTGTTAATCTTGGACCCCTTATTTATTTTACTGTTATTTTAAATAGAACACGAGCGTTACCCTTCTATAATGCAAATCTAGTATTCCCAATATTGGCCCAATATTATAAGATGGACGCCTTCTCTTATTTAGCCAATATGTCTATTTAGCAATGTTGGTCTAATATTGATGCAATGTTAGACCAATATTTTTATTATACATTGTTAAATATTGGCCAATGCACTTCCAATATACATCTAATATTATATAATTATTATCGTGCAATATTTACAGTTATTCCATGGCCAATATTGGCTTTACGTTGGACAATGCATTTCTAATATAACCAACCAATGTTTAGCCAATGTTTGGACCAATGTTTAGCCAATGCACTGTGTTACCAGGGAAGAGACCATACTCAGCGGGAAATGACTCGATCGATGTCGAATCGAGATCGACATTGTCAAGTTCGACAAGTTTCGACGAATCATTTCTGCGTACGAATGATGCGAGGTTTCATTGCACTTTTGCAATTAACTGTCGACGCTTTTTTTAACTTATTATTTCTCACTGAAAACGCAACGACTTTTATCATAAGTAAAAAGTGCCGGTTACAGAAATCACAGTTAACGGTAGTTCGCAAGTTCTTCCAAAACAAAATTAGATTGTTAATAGAAACAGTACGATAAGTTAAACTTATTTGTCTGCAGGCTGATTTTTTTATGCATTCGAGTAAGGAGGATACGATTACTCGTTGAAGCACGCAATGACGCGTTCAGCAATTAACGGCTTCGCTGTTATTTATATCAAACGCGTTCCTTACAACCATCTCTTTTTCTCTTTCTGGAGGCTAAGACAATTTATCCCGCGTAATTCTTTTTTAACGTAGCGACGAGAAATTTTTATTTGAAGTAGACAAAGATTCAACGCAAATTGGATCTTGCAGCTGAATGTGTATCACGCCATTAAAGGTGTCGCGCGTTAATGTCAAAATTTTCAAATATAATCTTCAACAATTAGGTATCGTCTGACATCGCTAAACGTAACATTTCACGACGTCTTACGACCTCTTACACCATTCGCATCGCAGTTCCCCCGAGCCCGGGAAACCGGGAGAAATTGTTCACGCGCTCGACGTACACTGGGAATCACTGATGCCTTCCCGCATGAATTTGCGCACGTCATCAACACATTTATATATTTTGCATATACGTACATGGAAAATGTATATGTGTTCTACATGTGCCTAAATTCGTATGGGAAGGCATCAGCGATTCCTTAGTGTACATTATAAACGGACCTTCCTGGCTCCTCTTCCGCGGCACCGACGGCGTATAAACTGTCACTAACAGGACTCGGTGAAGCACTTGTCTGAGGCGGCGCGCGATCTGACCGTGCGGGAACGGGGGCCCGCCGGGGTCTCCTCGAGAGGTGCGCGGGATGAATTTTAAAAGACACCACCGAGAGCGGCGGGGAGGGCCAACAATCTGGTATTCCGAACGCGCGAGGACGTCCATATATACCTACTCCTCCGTCCAAGGGGGCCCCGCCAGCCTGCCTGCTGAGCCCCCGCTCTGCGGCGACCTTGACCACGAGAGGAGCATGACTTCTTGTTCGCACGTAAACGCCCTAGGTCCGGATGCCCAACTCGAAATCTCAGCCATCGACTTGGATCGCGCCTTCCCTCAGAAAGGTTCGCCGATGAATCGCCACACGCGTCCCCGTCGAGGATGTCCGAGTTCCGGCCTCCCAGTGAGAACACTGACGTCGAATCGACGTCAGTGGGATCGAAACCGCGTTCCAACCCAGTGGGAGATGATTCGTCGAATCGACATCGTTTCGACATCGTTTGACGAGTCATTTCTCACTAGGAACCGTCAGTTTTCGAAAATAATTCAGTTTTTGGGACTTAATTTTTTGTATCAAATTACTAGGTTCAACGTTCTGAATGCTTTTAACATCTTATTGGAGAGAACTGCCAAGTCAACTTATGCAATACAAAATTTAACGCAAGAAATAAAGTTCCGAAACTTTTAATTATTTTCGAAGACTGACGGTTGGGACGCGGTTTCGATCGACGTCGATTCGACGTTAGTGTTCTCACTGGGCTGCTGATAATTAGACTACCGCCGCTTCCGACTCCTGCTATCGGCGAACACGAAGGGAACCCCCTTTCGTTTGCGGTTGCTGTCGCGAATTATCCCTGAACAAACTGCGACGACGAGTACCGCTTCAGACGAGTATGCACTTCTTCTCCGTACGCGTTCGTCCCTGTAGCAGTTGACATTACTCGTGTGAGGGATGTTATCGCTTTGCTCTCTTTCAGAGAGATGTTTCTTTCGTTCAGTCTCGCGTAAGTCGAAAATTACAGACATTCCCGCCAAGTAAGAATCGCTTCCAGACTGGTCAAGGAATCTTTAGAAAAACAACCGGTTTTTTAGGATCCTATATATACGATTCCTTAACTTCGTGGCGAGATCTTCAAATTAACTTTGCTCGTGGATATTAACGGATTATACGACGGTTATTATAGTGGAACAAATACGGCGCGGAGGTGAAACAGTATACGTGTATACATTAGAAAGAATTCTCGCCATTAGATAACGGTGCCACGAATTTTTAATCATTTAAAGCTATCAAATGTATACGTTAGATGAGAAGCCGTCATCATTATGCGGCTTCTCACGACGCCTTAACAGTAAATTTTTTAAAAATACAGTTCATTTTGCAACATACCCATTTAGCGCTACAATAAAAACCAGGGTTGGGAAAGTTACTCTATAAAAGTATCTAGTTACAGTTACAAGTTACCAGTTCTGAAAAGTAACACGTTACAGTTACAGTTTAAAAGTAACGATTTAAAAAGTAACGAATCGTTACTTTGCAGTTACTTTCTTGCAATGAAAATAAAAATATCAAATTTGCATTTGAATTGTAAAGCGCCGATGAAGGTGTTCATGCATCAATGTAACGCAAGGCCTAACGCAATCTGTGGAGGTTTAAAAAATATATAAAGTAACTGTTAAATTAGTTACTAGTTATCGAAAAAATATAACTGAGTTAAGTTGCAGTTACAGACGGAAGGAAAGTAACGAAGTTAAGTTAGAGTTACCAAAAAATAAAAGTAACTGTAACCGTAACTTCGTTACAAGTAACGAGTTACTTCCCAACCCTGATAAAAACTACGGGCAAGAACGAAAGTTCGTTCGTTAGGAATTCGCCGAGCAGCACGAAATTTGATTTCAGATGACGGAAGCTGACGACGACGGGGAGCTGTAACGGAGAGCAAACGTTGGCGGAGAATCAGCGTCCTTGATGGTCGACGTCGATACCCTCGCCGAAACGGATCATCGGCGTTCGCATGCCACAAGAAATATATTATTGTCCCGCGAGCGTGTAGTTAAGCGAGTATCGTTCGCACGAGGCGGTTTGCCCATCCATTAATCGGCGATATCTTCTGATCTATAAGTAGCAATTTGTCCCCGCGCACTCAGCCGGTTCAAGGGAGCCAGGGTGAGCGATATGAATTATCGGGGAGGACATCGCGCTGCTCAACTTCGTACTTCACAGCTGGGTAGGAGAGTCGGATGCTTGTAACGATGACACGGGTCTTGGACGGACTTCTTCCAAAAATAAGGCACCCTACCTGAGGGAGTGGCAGCCAGATTCGCCTTCAACTTGCGGGCTTGGTCAATTTATCGACTTGTTTTTTTTCCCCTGCCGTCTGGAAAGTGCTTCGCGAGTGAAAGGGATGGAATTTGTTTTGGGACAGCCGCGGCGTCATTATCTTCCTACATCCTCGTCGTACTGCGCTCTCGGGACGTGGCTTGAGGCGCGTCTTGCTGCAATTCGCAAAAAGTATGAAACAGTTAATTTTTCGAACGAACGAGGACGCCTAAGCAGGCCCGAGCAAGATGTAGACGGGCCAATAATTTTTAATATGAGAATTCGTATACCGTTTTTCCACCTGTCCTGTGCGCCGGTTTCTTTTCGGACACAACACAGGATCGGTTAGATGGAATATTGTCGTCAACAAATTCACGAATTTAAATAGACGAGCGATCTCTAATTAATTTTTCAACGCTACGTTCAACATTCAGTACAATAATCTCACTCTCCGTACCGTAAAGAACTTATCGCGAAAAATATTACCTCAGGATTCGAACCTGGGACCTCCCTCAATCCGTGACGAGCGTCAACTGAGGCTGCGATAATATTCTCCGCAATACGTTTTTGTAACTTCTGATTAGGCGAGTTCAATGCGGCATAATTAGTTGCATACTGAACCCCCTGATCTTGCAAGTCAAGCAACTGCATAGAGCGGGAGTTCAATTAATTGTGCATTGAATCGCAATTCATTGGATCTGATGTGCCGCCAATGTTTCGGATCACATTTGCCTACGGGGGAGACGTCGCTAGGGCCGGTGTTCATAGTCGATTCTTATTTCAAAATCATCTTAAGTGTTGTCTCAAGACGCTAAATACGGCTCTGTGATTGGTTGAAAACACATTAAGAGTATACTTAGGATAATCTTAAATATAAGAACGGGCTAAGAATGGCGTAGACGCGAGTTCAAAGTATTTCTTTTTCTTCCTCGTGCTTTTCCTGGCACTAGAGAGCTGTAAACAGTGCGCGAAGGCGAACGCCCGATGATCGACGGTGACGAGGAGGCGTTTGCCAGGAGAACAAAGGCCCCGGGGGTCCGGGGGAGTCGGACGGGTATTCAAATTCGAGCGTAGCGGTCCCCGGTTAATTGCATTACCGCGCGCCTCTGTATAGGTGTGCTCCGAACGCACGCACAACGTTCGATTTTCTCGTCTCGATTCGACGCGCGGACTCGCGCCGCCGCCTCGAGCGTGATTAGCAGGCCGGATTATAAAGGTGAGACGCGGCGCTTAAAGGCTATTCTACAATTGCGTAAACGTGGTTGTTAGCGGTTGTACTGTGTTGTAAAACACAGTTTTAAACTAGCACTTCCGATTGTAAAGCCTGTTGTAAAAGATGGCTGAACTTGATCTTCCACGACTACAACGATATAGGACGTAAAAGCTAACTAATCATTCATTTCAATTACGACGTATCTCACTCTATTGTATATTACTTTGATGTACAACACTTACTACTACTTCTACTCCTACAACCCTACAACTACGTTTACGCAATTGTAGAATGGCCTTAAATGTTGCGCCGAGTTCAATGCCACCTCTACCGAAACGACGAGACGGAGAAGCGGGCGGAGGGAGAGCGAGAGAGAGAGAGAGAGAGTTAATACTGTAGAAATATAAATTTTATGTGTCAGACCCACGCGAGAGGAAAGAAGAAAAAAAAAAAGGAAATATATGAATCGGAATCCGTAATCGTCGGTCGTTAATGGACGGGTTGAGGCGTCATCGATGCAGAGTCGACTTAGTCGGGATTCAAATGACCTCCCCCATCTCATCTCGTTCTTCCTCTCTCTCTCTCTTCCTAATTCAAGTCCATAATTATATGTCGTAAGGTAATCGCTGTATCGTCAGTATAGTGTACCTCGCGATTAAGGGCTGCACCGATAAATCAACGGATAGATTGCCCGTCAACCTGGCGGTCCAAGCGGTCGCTCGGGCGGGGTCTCTCCGCGGGATCCCTGCCTTCGAGGAAGAAAAAAAAAAGAAAAGAAAGATAAACGCGTTTTATGAATTCATAGCTGTTTATTTCTTCGGAGTGGACACACTCGTATTATTATCGATTAACGTCAAGGCGAAATAGGTTCTTTCGCGCGCGCGTTCCACACGTCGCCTGATGCTGCAAATGGGAAAGGCCCGTGTTCCGTTTCCCTTTCTTTTCGGGGGAAGACAACGGGACGAAAGCGAGAGTTGTTGCGAAAAAGAGGCGCCGCCGTTGCTTATCGCCGCGGGTTCGAGGGGCAATTATTATCCGTAATAATCGGCCATTAGCGCATCCCGCGGCAGAAGCGCGAGCCCGGCTATCTCGTGGCGTTTTGTTCGCGGTCGATCGCTACACAGGAACGCAATTAACACGCGGAGAACAGATCGACCCTCGCGACGATAGAGACGACCCCTCTTCCTTCTCTCTTTCGCCGGTCGCGGGCATCGCGACGGGGATTCGTGCGCTTTATTCCGCGCACACACTCGCGAGACGTGTCTCTCTGACACGCATTAAAGTCACGAAACGGCTTCTGGAGGCGAATGTGAGTCAAACGGGTTTCCGAAGACGAAGATGAGGAGCGCGACCGTGGCGGGTGCGAAACGTCGCGTAAATCACCGTGAAAGAACAAACAGGCGCTCGGGGCGTTACGAAACAGACGGCGGTTTGGCAACAGTTAGACAATTCGTGCTAATAAAATCACAAGTGAGTCGAATTAGCGATCCGCGTTTCCCCGGGCCGGGCATTGCACAATCTCGGAATCAGCTCTCGACGATTCCGCAAATAATAATAACAATCTTATCGGGTGTACGATAGATGAACGAGGCACAAGTGGTTGGCCGCAAAAGAATTTTCTGAGAACGAATGCAAAACTTTTCGCTAACCGTGGCTGATCATGATTTGCTAAAAATATTTTGCTGCCGTAACTATACATTTCTAAAGCACAGCAACCGCGGTTCGCACGTAATACAAGAGGCACAGTAGCAAAATATTGGCTATCGCAGCTAAATATTAGCTGTCCATATTTTACAACTGAAATTTAGTTACCACACGCAGCTCTTAGCTACGGGTAGCTACATTTTTTCCCCGCGTACGAACGCCGCTACACGAAGGCGATTTCGAGATCGAGGGGGCGAAAAGGGAAAAGAACTTTTCTTTTTCCTCTTCGCCACGCGCGCCTCACACTCGCGATCTGGTTGTTCCGACCTCGCCGGACTCCCGCCCGACGTTTCTCGTTTGGGCTCGGCGCGGATCACGAAACGACGCGGCGAGTCAAGTTCCGCCGATGGTTCCCCTGCGCGTCGCCCAGACATCCAGGCACTCCAGCGTGGAGAAAATGTCACGGAGACGTCGAAAGTGGCTAATCCGTTCGCCGTTGATCGACACGCCTTCGCCGTGGATCCTCGAAGGGTCTTAACGTAGAATCAAGGCCACGCGCACCGGTCCCAGGCCGCTTTTACGGCCGCTGGTTGAGTGACCTCTGCGCCCATCCCAGGGAACAGTCGGAGATTTCGACGCCGCTGGCCCACTCTTGCTTCTCTTGCTTCCTCTCGCTTTGCTCTCTTTTCTATTTTGTCTTTCCCTTACAAGTCTCTTACAAGACGAGATGAAAAACGAACGGCAGAGTGTATCGATTTGCGCGATGTGCGTCTAAGCAGCGAATAATCGCAAATATTGAATTATCGAATCAAGAGAGAAAATTATTAATAGACAAAGGAAAATTATCGCCAGTGCAATCCTGAGAGAAATACGCGAATAATCCAATTACTGTTAATTCGTATTGTTTTCGCGGCAACAAAATAGAGGCCGGGTATCGAGCGTTTGCTAGACCATAATTAATCTCTGCTCAAACTCCTGTCTCCCCCTCTCGTCTTTATAAGGTGTAATAGGACTCGCGAGATCGCCGGCGAAAATGCCGCCTGCAATTTTGCCGGCCGTTCGTTACTATCTATTTTCTACATGATAAATTGGCCAAGTAGTTACCCCGCGAATAGCGGGGCATTTTACACGACGCTCAGGCATTTATGCGACGCGTTACTCCGAGGAGCTCGGTCCTCGCGCCGCGTTCCCATTGTGTACGCCCGACGAGCGTTTGTCCCGAGATAATTATGCGATTTATCTCTCCTTTTGTCCCACCCCGTCTTCCCCGAAGGATGACAATGTCGCGCGATTCACCATTCGCCGTGCACGCGACGTATCGTTCGGCGAATGAGTAATGCGGCCGGGCCGGGTGATTTATATCTTCCCGTGTACACCGAGGAGGACGAGGGCGGGAGAGCCGGCCGCGTCGCCGGCGAGGTCGGATTTCCTCGTTGCAGAAAGCCTGCCCGCGAGATTAAACGCGATACTGACCCTGACGAGACTCGCATTCGCGACGAGAGCAACGAGACAAGTGCTCGTAATGCTCGTGGCTCTTCCCTAATGATAGGCTCTTGTCGCGACGACGGCGCTTCGGGCACGCGCGCCGCGATTACGGGCCTTGATAAACGGGTGAGTTTATCACCGCGGAGTGGAAAAAGCGCATCTCTCACGGCTGTCGGCGAGGGCGACGGGGCGCCTTTCGGCGGCTGCTCTCGCGAATGCAAAAACAGTCGCTCCGCAATTAATATTAAAATGAGAATGAGAGAACGCAATTCGCGAGTCTCTCGCATCGCTAATGCATTTTTATCACGGTGCACCTTTAGAAGGACGTCGCGCGGATTCCGCGGCATTAATGGAAAGGTCAATAGAATTTTTTTCTCAGCGGCGAGAGGAGAGATTCGACAGGAATTCGGCGCCAGTCGAGTTTCCATGGCACCGTCGACTCCGATTTCAGTTCCTCCCTCAGGATCGCGTCTCCAGCTCCAATATCTTCTCTCGGATACCTACGTCTATTGATCCGCGAGCCTCGTTTTAAGAGAAGAACGGATCGAGACGCAAATTTTGTAATACGTACCGATCAGCCGCGAGTAATCAAACGCAGGATTGCACGCTTCGGCAGGACTTCCTTTACGTAACTTGATAAAGGAGGCGAGGCACAATTTTCGCGATGATCCTCAGGAGGACACCTGTCGTTCGCAGAGTCGTCATCGGCCTACGATCTGTCTGTCAAGAACAGATCTCGAAGATAGACGCCGGGTATAAAAGAAGCAGCGTCTTCCAATTCGTGTCGTATTCGCGGGGTACATTAAACAGCGTCCTCAGCCACTTCGATATCCACTGTAAATTGGCACTTGTGACTATTTGCGAGAGTAATTATCATTCGTTCGTTTAAATGATTTAATTTAAATTTTCGTATAATTCACTTTTTATTATATTAATAGGAATTTTGTCAAATTAAATGTTAATCTTTATATAAAATTAACAGGCTTGGGAAAGTTACTTTATAAACGTATCTAGTTACAGTTTTTTCGCTAAAAATGTACCTAGTTAACGCGTTACAGTTACAGTCATTAAAAAGTTAACGAATCGTTACTTTGCAGTTACTTTCTTGCAATAAGAATAAAAATATTAAATCTGCATTTAAATTGTAAAGCGTCGATAAAGGCATTTATGCGCAAATGCAAGACCTAATGCAATGTGTGGAGGTTTAAAATACATATAAAGTAACTATTAATGTAACTGAGTTGAGTTACAGTTACAGATGGAGAGAAAATAACGATGTTAAAGCTACCAAAAAAAGTAACTGTAACTTCGTTCGAGTTACTTCCCAACCCTGAAAATTAGCATATTCTGTTGTTATATAATAAATTTTCGCGTAACACAATTACGTTAAATTACACATTTAACAATTGCCAAATCTTTTCCTAGTGTTTACCTTTGCTTATCTCGTCTCGAGAACGAGGCAGCATCAGTCAATGGCTAATTACGCGAAGCTCGCTGTCATCATTGCTGTTATCATCGGCGTCGTTTGCGGAGAGGAGTCCAGCGAGCTCGAGGATGACGACAGGAACATTCTCGGGTTGAATCTTCCGTACGGCCGAGGTCTGGTAAGTGTCCGTCCGAATCTCAATCCAAATGGCAATCAAGAGGCGCTTAAACTTGACTAATAACGTGTCGCAATTGTCATATTTCGAAATTGTATTGAACGCTTCGGCAAAATGAGATACGAGGATTAATTTACACGTCAATTCGGACTCGGAACGCCACTTAAGCGGTCGACACAGTTCGAGAGGGAAATAGCGGTGGTGTAATATCATGTGCTATTAAATAGATTCATTGGGCGAATATTTATGTACATAAGAAATGTGTTTATTCCCTTCACAGGATAGCGAATTGCAGCTGGCCAGACTGATGCTGGTGGCTCCGCGTTTCTGTCATCCTAAACGCAACTCCGAGCTCATAAATTCGCTGTTGGGTCTACCGAAAAATATGCACAATGCTGGGAAATGAGAGTGACCTCACTTGTACAAGAAGGTACATCACATGTACAACAATATAGAAATAAACATCTCGTAGCTTATCCGCCAAAGAATATATATTAGAACGGAGCATTTAGAAACTTAAGTAAGATTTGTCAGTAATGTTGCCAGAAACATGGACCGTCTACAGGATGAATCGATACGAATAAATGTAGGAACTAATATACATTTCCTATTTTATTACATTTTTCCGTTACATAATTCCTTGTACTATTTTCCTCTCACGTTCTTTTTACCATCGTAAAGTGCAAACTAAATTACAGACATTAACCGTGTTAATTACAGACGCTGCGGTTTTCATTTTTACAACAGATATTTCTATTATTCTACCCCATATTATTCCATTGGATTATAACTCCAACTTTGCAGAGCAAGCCGGAGTTTCAGGTTTGCGATATCTTGATCGTCGTTTTATGATTAACGTCGATTAACTTAAGAGGAGATAAGAGAAAGGTTTAAAGTATTACGAGATTAATTGTAATCCACACACATTTCGACAGTAGTAAACTGATACATAAATACACGTACCTATCATTTTATACTACGCAATCATATACGACAAAATACAAAGAGCAATCGCAAACATCTCCAGTTTAGAAAAATGAAATACTGTACCTTAATTACACATATACAAACATTTTCCACGTTCTCTGTTCTTCTACAACAGAAATAAAAAGAATATGCATATCGTATGGATGACACACTCCTTTTTATATAAAGAGGCGTAGCACAATACGTAGGCCATTTGAAAAGTTCTCGCAACGAAATAGAAAAACAGCTTGTATCTTTATAATTACTTTTCATAATCTCTCTTTACAATGCTACAAAGTCATCGTCTCATTACGAACTCTGATTCGTCAAGTGATGTCAAATACCCGTCGCTTTTATTTCTTCGTCCGACGAAAGTCTCTTCCCAGCAAGGAATTCTTCCAATTGTGGGAATAAGAAGGAGTTTGACTAAGTCAGGCGAGTAAAAAGAATAATAAAAAAATCACACCTTAATCCGAATACTTAATCACAGTGGCATCTCGAGTTTGTTCATTTTTTAAAAATCACACAGATACGTTCACTGAAAAATCTATAAAAAAAATTAATCTATTTGATGGGATAAAGTATGACTTTATTGTGTATTCATAGAAATATTGGTAGTTTCCATTTAATGTGTGCGAGTTATTGTACTCCATTTCGAGAACTTTTCAAAAGACCCACGTGTGTATTTTATACAAATCTATGTAAATAAAAAGTTCACTGTTACAATTCACAGAGTGCAAAAGTCTCGCTTTCAACTAGAATTTCAAGTAAAAGCCACCACCAACCGCCGGCGCTCTGCCACCCTCCGTTAAGCCCATGTGGAAACCGGAGTTACTCAAATCGGCGTCGTCACCGTCACCCAATTGTTTGTACTCTCTGCCGCCGCTCGGTGGCTTCGGGGACGCGTTCGTGGTTCTGATTCCTTGCTCCGACTTGGCGGGCCACGCGGGGAACATTTGCGGGTCGATTGGCAAAGGCGCTTCAGTAAAGTAGCCATGATTCAGGGCGTCTTCGGCGGTTACACGTTGACGAGGATCGTACGTGAAAAATCTGAAAGAGAAAAATCACACTTGTAATAAAACACATTTAAATATTAAATGCTTCCGCAAATTGTTCTCTAAACGGTATAACTTACTTGTTCAGCATCTCGATACCTAAATCGGACAACAATAAGCTAAATCTTTGTCTGAGATTATTTACAGGATAATGCGCGAACGAAATCTTTTGTACTATGGGTAACTTGGCGTATCCTGGCCAGATCCTTTCGCTCGGTGTACCCAGCTCCTTAAATATTTTATTCAATTGATCTATATCAGATTTTCCCGGGAAGAGTGGTTTCATCCTTAAAAGCTCGGCGAAAATGCACCTAAGGAGAGATTATCATAAATATCGTGGTTTATGTACTCTAAAATTGTATATTTAATATCCATTGTCGCCATTAATTTAAAAAGATCGTATCAAACGACCTTCCAATAAGCATATGTACTTACCCTACGGACCACATGTCTATAGGCGTACTATATATTCCTGCATACTCTTTATCACACAGAAGTAATTCAGGAGCTCTATACCATCGTGTTACGACGATCGGCGTGTACTGCCTCAAGGGAGAGCCATATTCTCGAGTCAAGCCAAAATCGCAGACTTTCAAAATGCCTCTGTGACTTAACAGCAAATTGGACGTCTTTAGGTCGCGATGCAGTATCCAATTATCGCGTAAATGCGCGACTGCGCATAACAATTGCTGCATAAGACATTTAACTTCTCCTGTAATAAAAGGAAATACCATGATTATTCCTTACGTTCCTTACGTTCGCATATTCTTCTAAGGATGATGAAGGATTATATGAATATATAAATTATATAAATTATATATACCTATTATATAAATTTACGACTTGAGTGCAACAGCAGAGCGTCAAGTTTAATATACGTAATCCATGACATATACAATTATTCTATATTCATAAATCTTTCACCTAGATTATCATATATTATTTTCAATCAAATTGTTTTTTACTTTTCAATTTCTGCTGTTACTACACTCAACTCCTCGACCAGTTTCCTACATTCTTTAACAGAATAATACCAGGTATAAAAACTTGTTTCTTCTGCTTCATGGTTTCTATGAGGGATTTCAGATCGTGCTCCATGTAATCCATGACAAGGAATATCTTATCCATGTTGCTGCCGACGACTATCTCTCGCACGGTAACAATATTGGAATGCTGCACTTTCAATAATGTATTGATCTCCCTCAGGCTTGTAATCGGAAGCCTTCCTTCTCCTTCTCCATTTTCAATCGTTTCAACGCGACTATCTCATCCGTGCGTTTGTCGCGCGCTCTGTACACAACTCCATATGTACCTTCTTCAATTCGATTTAGACACTGAAATTCCTCGACGCTTTTACAACCTAACAAATAACAGTGTCTAAAATTTAAATTAAAAATAAAGTTAATAAGGCAAAAATAAGAAAATAGATTAAAGGTATAAAAGCAAATTTGAATTAATCAGATTGGAGATTATTTACGATAAAAATTCAAGTCTGATTAACTCGTGTAGTTGGCATGCCTTTATACCTTCAATTTTCTTTTTGAATTTCTTTTACAAATATTTCTTGCTGCACCTTGAATAGCCGGCAGATATGGCGGTAACTCCGGTTTCTCCTCTTTCACGGTTTTCGTAGCATTGTTAGAATCAACGTGTCCCGGAGAGTCTCCATCCGAACGATCGGATTTGGCCAGTCGATCGACAGACAGCGGACTTGGATTGTTATATTCCGTACCGTCGTTGGAGTCGCCAGCGGAACCTTTAATCGATTCGTTAGACTCGTCGTCGTCGTCGTCGCTGCTAGATTCCGAAGAGTCGGACGAGTGTCGCTCCGACGACCGCTCGTGCGGACTTCTCTCCCCTTCGGACGAGTGTCTCGACTCGTCCTCGAAATGAGCAGGACTGATGCTTTCATCCGACAGCTCTGCTATCGAAGGATCCGGGTTGTTGTCCGGGCTCACGGGTCATTTCTCGCCTCTCTTCATTCTCCTCGCCTCCAACTCCATCCTGGACACCTCCTTCCGCCTGGCCGTTTCTCTGTCGGCCTCCAACAGCCTTTCTCTCCTAAGTTCCTGTTCCGACATCTCTTTTGAATCTTTAATCTGTATTGAGATCTCCGTCTGCACATCCATCTCACTAACCTCGTCGGTTACGATCTCCATCGCCTCCCGCAGCTGTTTGTCCCGGTGCCCCTTCCCGCGCCCCATCTTCTCTTGGTCCCTCTCGCGAACTCTTTCGTGCTTGTGAGATCTCTTGCGACGCTTCTCGGACCGTTCCATCAGCTCGCTCTCCGAGAGCCGCTCGTCCACGATCGCCCGCGTGTGCCTCCGCTCCTCCATGCGAATCTCGCGACGCTCCCTACCGTCGTCCACGGTACGCACTTCACGACGCTCCCGAAGGTCCTCCGTCCGTACTTCTCGCCGGTCGCGTGGCTCGTGCATCTCTCGCGGCTCCTCGAATCGCACTTCGTGTCGGGACGACTCGATCTTGTAGTTCCGAGTGTCGCGCGGATCCTCCCGTCTCTCCCTTCTCTTGTCCAATAATCTGAAACATATTTGCTTCTAACAAGAATTTTAAGAGAAGCGACGCATTGACAAACGGTCATTAATATTTCGTAAAGCAGAAATTCGGTGAGAAATTTCCAAGATACAAGAGACAAGTTATACCTTTCCCTCAAATCTTCTAGGACACGGTCTCCCGTACTTCTGTCCTTGCGATCGTGCCTGGAGGACTCCCGAGAGGACTCCCTGTCTCTAGAATGGCCCTCCATCCTGTCTAGTCGCTCCATCCTCTCGCGGTTCCTCTCGGAGCCCTCCAAACGCTCGGATCTTTCCGCAGGTTCCCCACTGCGAAGTGCGATGCCTATGCTTGTCCCTGTGCCTGTCCTCGCGCTCGTGTTGACGCGACTTTCGCCCCTTCTCATCCCTGCGACTCCTCCTGTCGCTGTGCTTCTCCCTTCGACGGGACGAGCTGGATTTATGATGGAGCACAACTGCCTGCGGCGGTTTAATATCCAAGGAGTCGGCCGTGTCGCCATCCTCTTCCTCCAGCTGCAAGTATCAAAAAGCTGCAGGTATCAAACGCAACAGGTAAGTAAATTAAACGATGTTAGAACTTGGTCCAATTAAGTTCTAGTTTCGAGAAATGTGTGGCCAATCAATTTGCAGCTTTTATGGAATAGCTGCAAGATGATTGGCTACTATATTTTAATTTCAGTTATGTATAAAATAGGCGCGCCAAGTATGCTGCTTTTGCAAAATACTTATTTTAATAAATATATTTCGAATACATTTGATTTTTTATTTTTAATTTATAAAATAATTTAAAAAATGTATATGATGAATTATTAATTACTTAATTTTGTCATTCAATTGAAGAGAAACATATGCCTTCGTAAAATACATATCTTATTTTGGATATATCAAATTTTGTATTGCAAATAGAGTGAACGTTTATTAAAAACAACGAAGAGCGATTCTCATTGTTAACTGTTACAACTAACGTCATGTCAAAATTTATTATTTTTATACATCACTTTAAACATTTCTCAATTTTTATTCAAATTTTTTTTTCAAGCTTAGTACTTTTTGTTTTGAAAGTATTGGGTTTGATTGAATTTGTCGATGCATTACATTTTAATATTTTATCGCCGCATTGTTATTAATTTATATTTAAGAATCTCTTTGTATAACGCGCAATACAAATAGAATAAGTTTTAAAAAAATACAAAAAATTACTTTACAAAATGTGTTTGATTAATTTATTTCACTTAAAACTTGCTGTGGTCATCAATCACAATTTTAACTTTCTTTTTCTTGATATATGACACATGATGCGTAATCATTTTGAAACGAAATTAGATATTTCCACGTAACACAATACAAGCGCTATTATCGTGTTTCCAGTACCTAAATCTAAAGTCAGCGAAATTGTATATCAATCTCTACTCCTGAGTTACAGCATACTGCAGTTCGTTTCAGTGTTCGAAAGACAGTCCTTGCGGAAGGTACACCAACTGTATAGTAACAATTAAAATTTGCATCTTGTGAAGAGAATATTCTAAAACTGGTAAGTCACATTTGATATTTTAAAATAAATTTTACGATAAATAATAAATTTTAAGCACGTTTCATACAAGAGAAAAGTATGATTATCAAGTGTTTATTAGTACAACTCAATTTATCATAGCTAAGTGTAAAGCCCGGTTTCACCAAACGTCGATTAACTTTAAACTTAGTGTAATTCATGTTTTCTCTTTCTAAAGTAACAGTTGGAAAGAGACAAAGAACGAATTAAGCTACGATTAAAGTTAAGCGACGTTGGTGTGAAACCGGGCCTAAGTATTATATTTAAATTACAAGTAATTCTTTTTATTACAATTCTGAAACCGACTTTTTTACTATATTTATAGAAATTGACCATCATGAAGTTCGTCTTCACTGTCATCATGTTCCTTTGCTGGTCTGTACCATCTGTGGTCAAATCAACAGAATATAAAATAGCCAATGATTACAGGGAACTTTCAAATTTCGTAGATTTTAAAATCTTCTTATTTACGTATATATGTGAAAATGAACTGAAGATCAACGCAGAAATCCTTAAACTCAGGCAGGATTTCATCAGCAATCCTTTATTTTCATCAATTACTGCCTCATCAATTACTTGCCTCGACCTTAGAAATAATCGTATTGAGAACATTGAAACAGGCGCCTTCAACAAACTTACAAATTTAACGCAATTGTTTCTTTCTGGCAACAGACTTCGCACGTCACAACTCTTTAACTTTGGAAGTCATGATCAGTTACAAGTTCTCGTTATGAACAGGGCGGTCGGTGATAGTTACAGAGAAAATATTCAGATTTCTAGTGAATATCCCAACTTAGAAATTTTGTCTCTTCGTAATAATTTAATCCAAGATCTGTATTTTCTTCCCAAAAAAAACCCCTTTGAATCCTCCTTTACTCAAACAATTATGTCAGAAACCCCATTTCCCAAGTTACAAATCCTGGATCTCTCTGAAAACGCTCTGCGGGACGGCCAGATGAATTTTATAAACTTACTGCCGAATAGTTTATATTTTCTTGATCTCCACGGCAACGCGCTTACTTACTTGAATTTAAATTTTATAATAAACAAATTGTCCGCAGTAAACTTGGATGACAATCAATTTATGTACATTAACAATTGTGCACACTATAGTCACTGTCTATCGGTGACTGGTCTAAAGGATCTAAACTATCTTTCCGTTTCCGCAAATTCCATTCAGAACATTGAAGTGAACGCTTTTCAAGATAACAACAATTTAGTCTACCTGAACTTATCCAGAAATAACATAAATAATTTATATCCGGAAACGTTTGCAAATTTGCAATACCTGAAGACACTTGATCTAAGTGGAAACAAACTTCAGGATGTTCCGCAAATCTCAAATGAAATAGGAATCACAACTTTGTATATTAATCACAATAATATAATGGAATTATTGCCATATACTTTCGTGCAAATGCCGAATTTGACAAAATTGTTATTGGGAGAAAACAAAATTAATAAGACCGATATTAATGCGTTCGCTAATCTTTCTGTCTTAGAGGAATTAGATCTGTCAAGAAATATGTTAAGTGCTTTTCCAGAAGGATGGACAGAATCCCTTGTATCTCTGAAATATTTGGATTTGAGCAATAATCGATTTACTTCACTGGAATCTTTGTCGTTGACAAATACATTGCCATTAATAGAAATATATTTAATGATGAATTCATTAGAATATCTGAATATTAGATATTTAGAGAGTCTACCGCAAAATCTTACTATGATCAACTTGATAAACAAGTCAAATTTTTCAAATTGGATGCAAATGGAAAATAATTATTAATGAGTTATCAAATTAAAATTTTAATATTGTAAACAAGAAAAGTGTTTCCTTTACTTATTAGAAATAATAAAACTTCGAACTATAATATAAGATTTTTCTATATGGTATCGGAAATTAAGCGTATAAACACTTACTATTATAGTTTCTAATGCTATAAAGTTGTTTTTACTATGTAGTTATTAATGATTAATCGAAACATTGAATAGTTATTGTAATGGCTTGTTTTGTGTGATTTTTTACTATGTGCCATATATTATAGAATGTATGTACATATAATAAATGGAAACAATTTAAAGTAATTGTTTATTTGTTAAGAATTTCTTCGAGTTTTAAAATACTTCCTAACGATAAAATAATTAATAAAACGCATCAAATCTGAAAAAGATCTGAATCATGCAAAAGATATTTATTCCAACTGTTTATCTTACGTTTTATATAAACTGTTAAAAAATTTATATAATAATTTTTTGTTTAATTTACAAAATAATTTTACATATGTATAAACTACTGCAAAATATACTTGACGTTTTTTTCCCCCTTTTTAATGTCTTTAGGCGCATCTTTTCCCCTCCGCATTAGAAGGAAAAAATAAACTCTAAAGTAGCGTAGCCAGTTCAGCTATAAAAAAAATTGACTATTTATCTGTCTCAAATTTTTAAAACTCGTTGAGGAATTTCGTCCTTAGGAATAAGAATTCGGGAGTCAAATTCGCGTATCGAGCAGTTCGCGTTTCAGAAAGGAATTGCGTTCCGAAACCCACGAGGTCTGTGCGTATCGTTCGCACCTCTCGCATTGTAAACCTCCGGCTTTTTCTTTTTCCAACGCCCAAATATGTATATTTACCTCGTTTTAACCGCAAAAATTTGTAAAAATTTCCAAACGGATACCTGAATGATTGTCGCGAGCGCGTTTCCAAACACATCGGAGTGCGAGACATTCGAATTCGAAGATCTATTTGCCGCCGAAGGCGCCAATGCGAACAGTAGCGGAGCAATGGAATACCAGTATTGATTTCCATGGTGTCGCTCGTGGACCTCGTGTACCTGTTTTCAACAATAGACAAGGAACTTGGAGCTCGTTGTATCCTTAACCTCACTTCTCGCGCTACCGATTGTTGTATCTGTAAACAATGTACAGCAACGACAGCGATGACGTTCTTTGTTGTCCTTACAACAAGTGTCATCGCATACCTAGCACGAGATTTCAACGACACCTCGTGAAGTGCGAGAAGGTGACAATTTTTGCGGGCCACAGTCACGTTCTAAGAAACGTAATGAAATTAATGCCAAACTTTCTTGCAGAACTTCCCGCCCGACTACAAGGTTATCTGCCCGTACAACGCAACTCATCGTTTCAGCAAAAGCGAGATTGTGGAACACATCACGACGTGTCCCATGAGAAGGACTGTCGAGGGGAGTTACATTCAGCGTAAGTGTGCACATTTTTTAATTCTTCCTCGAAAACTCTGTGACGGAACGTAAAACATTTACCGGAAGGCGTGTGCGCTTACGCGTGTTCGACTCTTTGTAAACTAGCGGCGCTTGGTCACCGTAGAATTTAACTTTGTGCAGATACGAGTACTCGGAGAGTTGGAGCGGGACAGGATGATTCTATGACCGACTACAACAGCTACTGGGCAAGCGAGGAAGAGGCGTAAGAACCGGAACCCGTTGTCCCTTCAACCTCCGCATTAACGAGTCAAACCTATGGGTGGGAGACGATGCGAAACTAGTTAACACAGCGCGAATTGGGAGGCGACAGGACAATGCCACGCTGAATCATATAAGATAGAATATAGATTACGATTACACGAACAGAGCGATCACAAAGAGATGAAGAAACGAACATTCATTTTTAGATGAAGAAACGAACATTCATTTTTATTTCCCTCCCCCGAGACGAGAGGATTCGTTAATGTAGACAATTTTTCGAAGCAACATTTACAAGCGGCAAATAAAGGTTTCTTTTGTGTTTCGCTCAGACGCTTTTATTTCACATAAATTTGCGTTTATTATTTTTTTTATACTTTACATCGATCCTAATATTTACAGGCCTTATCTCAAGTGAATTTCCCCCACGGATAAAGACATGCATCTTAAGTGCATATGTGTGTGTACGCACATGTATGTATGCACCCGCACAAGTATACATACACATGCCGAAATATATACATATAAAAAACAAATATCAAATATCAATAAGATCGGACAATTTATTTTTGAATTTATATGTACAAATAGCGCATTTTATCAATACGTATTAAATACTTCAACTGTGTCATGTATGTATCACACATAGGTGTGTGTGTGTGTGTGTGTGTGTGTATGTATGTATGTGTTATGCGTCTCCCTTTTTATTGTTCCACAAAGTACACCAAAAAGATATAATGTTGTTTCCGAATATACTGTCTCAAAATTCCGAAATTTTGTGTCTAGTATCATGTCTTCCTAGAAACATACGTCGCACAAAGGTATGTAACAAATGATAAATAGCTTTCGTCATTGACTAGTCACTTTTTTTTTAGACATGGCTCTTCAGATATTTTGAACTAAATGATTTTGATGCTCTTGTACGTAAATTCAACTACGATATCAAATCTCTGTATCGATGTTTAAATGTGGGTACATTACCAGTAACTATTCTCGATTATTTAAATCATAATCCGTTCGTTTAATATCACGATGCATATGTTAGATATGAAATATATAAAATTTATATTTACACTTTAATGACAAAACATTTTCTATATTATCAAAACAGTGTGTGGCATTGTTAAAACACAAACATAATCGTCAAGATAAATGTGACACTGGATAAATGCAACCATTACTTCCCCTCTCAAAAAAGTGTGAATCGAGTCGAGATGCGTTTTAAATTGGTAAACAGTTTAATATTTAATGCAGTATAATTAAAATGTTACGTTTTTTTCAATATAAATTCTCTTTGGAATGTTTTATACATACATTTATACACTTATCTATTGCACAAGATACGCAAATAAAGTAATGAATGATTTATAAAGAAATATGATAAAGAAAAGATAAAGAGTATGTATATACTCATGTAACCACACACATATACATATATGCATTACTTTAACAAAAATTAGCAAGTGGAAATATCTTTGTGCACATATGTATATAATAAAGTTATAATAAAATAGGGTTACAGAAACAAAATAAAAATGTTCGTTTTTATATTATATCCAAAGTAACATTTATATCGAAAGCAAAGCTTGTAACTCAAAATGTGTTTCAAACTAATGTAGATTTGACGTGGTATTTATCTGTAAAAAAATGTTTTGCCTTTACAAAGTAAAGCAACAAATATCTGAATTATCATATGCGTAGATGTGTAGTTTTGTATCTTCAGTAAAAGAATACAAAATAATCCACGAGTTTGACTGCTATTTGTAAATGATTGCCATATTTTTAACTATCGTTTCGAGGATTGACAAACAAGATATCACAATTTCACACACGATACCTTTAAATAGCATTACTGCTGAAATCATTGAATTGTAAATTTTATGCATAGATTTTATGTCAGCGTCAGTTTATTTTTAAATGTCGATTTCGTGGAAGTAATATAGTAGTCATTTATGTTACTAGTTTTCATACTATTTAACGTTATATTTTCGCGGGATATGCTTGAAACTTACCCGCTGCCACATCGAAAGACGTAAAAAGTAATGTAGCTTATTCATCAATAATTTTGGATACTGACGTGTAGCCAGCAATTATTTACAACTTTCTAACGTATGTTTGGAGCAATATATTGGCAGTTCGCTAGCTGCAGTCTGTGTTAATGTTTTATTGTATAAAAACTGTAAATTTATTGAGCGCAATTGTTGCACAACAGCGAGATCATTGCACTATATTCATTAACTGCACTGGATTGATGCGTTTATCTGGCAGAATGTATCGTGCAATATTGACAATTATGTCGGATTGTATGCTAAATCCTTTTTCTCTATGTTGGATGCTAAACGCTCTGTCTTTCTTTTTACTCCTATTTACTTGCAGAATTCTCGTCACATTAGCACCGTTTATATATTCGTCGACTTTTTCTTTTGCTGCTTCCACACAGATATTCTTTCTTTCAAGTCGAGCACTGCAATATCAATAAAAATCATCAGTATAAAACACATAATCCGTGAAGTTCTTACAATAGATTTTTATAAAAATAAAATTTTCGACGATATTTTTGTGTTAAAGTTAGAACAATGTAAGAATTTTCAAAAATCTATTGTCGTAACGTCGACGTGTAATATCGTAATGTGAAAAATATTTTAAATACAAATTTAAATTATTACGATTTATATCGTGATACAAGCATCAGATACTCTTCTGAAGAATACTCCGTACAAAATTGCATTGCGACGAAACGCTGCTATTGCTTATCGGACGAATCTGAGGTAAGAAAAATTGAATCGAACAAGAAAACATGTGAATGGTGCACTTACTTGGTGTGAGCATGTCTTCGCTAAGTGGCTGCCGACTGAAAGGATCTGTGGCGCTATTGAGTAAATGTCTAATGATAACTGCCTTGTCCATAACAATACCAGATGGTAGTTTGACTGGATCCTCCATAAGAGTGTCCATTAACGGATCTCGGAATTCCTCAGGAGCGTCACCGTAGTCTGCGTCGCGCGCGCGATTATCTCTCGCGATTATCGCCGCACGCTCCGCGAGCGCTATGAATCTCTCGATTTCCGTGGTAGTTTTGATCGCGGATCTTTCTAATCTGCTCGCAGCGTCCGTGAATAACTCTTTGCAGAACGAACGCTGAAAAGAAAGCAGGTTTTTTTCTAATTAATATACATTAATAAAACGCGTATACATATTTACACATATATTAATAAACACAGATGTGTAATAGACGATGAGTGGAAGGAGACACTAACTTCGTCACTGGCTAGAGCGGCCGCGAAATTATCACAGTCAAGATGCAAATATATATCAACCAATTGGCTGAGTAACGTCCTTGGTTGCCACCCGTACTTCTGCGGCTTTCGCACTCTCAAATTTTTGCACTTAGGTCCGCACAACTGTTGCAAATTGAAGTTTAGCATGGCACACAATCGCCCGACTAATTCCGGCCGGAGGAATGGCTCCTTAATGTCGACCGTCAGATAGTGAAACATGGCAACTGTTTCCTTGGCTAGTGTAAGATAGGACCTGGCTTGTCTCTCGTCCGCTGCCAGCTGCCTCGTCCTCGACTGCTGTTGCTCCTGGGATAACGCGCCCCATGCGTTAGTGTCCGACATGAGTTCCTGCACCTCGTGTATGCGCTTCAGAGATTCCAGGCTCTCGTCAAGCAAGAAGGTGGTGTCGTTCATCAGCATGTTGACGAACTTGACGAATTGCTTGCCGTTATTGCTCTCATTGACGATAGACGTTCGATGTACCGGGCTGTCCCACATAGACTTCAAGATCAGACTTATGTGATAGCGTATTGAGAATTTATCATAGAACTCTGAACTGGAACCAGTGGTTTCAACGTCGGTGTAAAATTTCATGAGGTACGACGCCAGAAGTGTCTTGGATATGGGATGCGCCATGACCTTGTCGTGCAGGGTCTCCGTTCTTCCCTGTGGAAGGTATACAGTTACCGAAATGACGATGTAGAGTACAATCTGAATCAAGAGTTTCCTCACAAGCTCACCTGAACACTAGGATTTATCACAAAGAGGACCTCGATGATTTTTGCGATTAGATACGGATTTCGTATACAATGCGGCGTACACACGACGACCAGTAACCACGTGATAAGCGAATTGTCCATATTATTTGCCACTACGACGGGACAAAATCTATAAATAAATAATGATAATTATTAATAAGCGCCACACGTGTTATAAGACTTGGGCATATAACGAGAACTTACTGGAGCGTGAACAACAAGAATTCCGCTATATCCTCCACATACCATTCCGGTAGTGCGGTAAACTTGCACGTAACTTCCTGAGGAAGCGGAAGTTTGGGGAGAGGGTTACCCGGGGCGGTCTGCGTCAGAAGACTCAGCAAAATCTCAGCCACAGATATATAAAAGTGTAAGCATCTTCTTAAAAAGACCGGGTCTATCAGGCCCGCGTCCGCGCACGATTTGGATTTAACTAATCGCTTCAATTGCTGCTTCCACTGCTTAATTAAGTCTTTGTTATGTTCCGCGTAGGGGCTGTCCTTCCACTGGGGTTCCGTGGCTTGCAGTTCGTCGAGCATCTTCTGTAAGTCGCGCAACGCCCGTAATTTTCTCTGATACTTTTGCAACGCCGGCAGCAGCGCGATATGATGGCAATGCAACGTCAGAAACCAGCACTGAGTGGGAAACTTGGATTCCGTCCACTTGTGCGTCTTTTCTAAACGCTTCTGCCATTCCGCGACCTCCTGCGAAGTGAGTTTCAGTCTTGTGTCGTTCTTGATCTCGACGAGGCTGGAAGGATGAAACGGATACAGAGGGTCTACGGTGTCCAGCTTGATTTTCACAGAGAGCATTTGCAAGACCGACAGTAGATTCAACATAAATCCATCCCCGGCCAGAGAGAACTCCTCGGTCTGTATCTGAGCGCGTTTCTCATTGTGACGTAGCAATGCGGCTAAGTACGTTAAAGTAGTATCGCGACAAGTGCTGTTCGCAAGTATCGCGAGCAACATCTTGTGCAACAATGTTCTAGTACTTTCCAATTCTTGCTGCAAGGCCAAATTCACCGTTTTATCCGTAACGGGATTTCCACTGAAGAACTTCTCCGCGACCTGAGGTTGTTCCTCGGCAAACACTGTTATTGAGAGAAACGGCCCCAAAAACGAAGTCCTCGTGAGCTCCCTACCGGCGGCTGACGTCATAATGTTGGGCAAGAATTGCACTTGATTCGTAATCAGACGGCATATTGGACGTATGTTGCCGCTTGGTCCGCAGCGAATCTCTATGAGTTCCTCCAGCACCTCGATCGGTCTTCTGTGTGTACTACCGACCAGGCTCGCCTGTTGCATCGAGAGATACAAGCCTTGCAAAACTGGAGTGAATATCTTATTGAATGTGCTCGGGCTCGTGTACGTCCTAGCCACGAGCTCGTGAAGATAGCCTCGAGGTAAGTCTTCCGACAGTATCGGATATAGAAGATAAGTGGTGCACATCGGGACAACTGAAGCTTGACAAATGCCAACCAATCCCTGTAGGACGAGGCTGGAGTACTGAACACATTGCGTTTTCAAAACCGTCAATACGTCGGAAAGTGGTGGTATGCTGGACCGCTGCAAAACGTAAACACGAGCGTCAGAGAAAATCAATTGGTTTCGGCAAAACTTTACCTCGTTAGAAAATACATCTTTATACACGCATGTACCTTTGGATGATTTCTCTCTTCAACCGCGACTCTCGAGTAACAGTCCAACAAGTAAGTGAAACTTTTCGGTTGCGACGACTTGCTGCCTATGGGCAATGGCACAGACGGAAGAGCCACGACGGGACTTGGCAGAGGACTCGCCTGATTATTCGGACTGTCCTGTCGATCGGACGACATATCTACCGTGACGTCCTTCAAGGGATCCTCCGCTTTCGAGAACATACACAGAATCTCCATCAAGGCCTGGTTGATGACTTCACTAAAATCCAGCTGTCTTTGTTTTAGCGTGTACGCCGCTGTCTGCGGCAAGAATATAGTTCCCTCCATGGGGCTTTTCCACGATATGCGCAAGACACGTGATATGACAACATGTACGTGATCTGCTGTAACTTCTGTGCTGGTACTCGCCATCTAAAATGCAGCAAAAGTGAAAACGGTTGAGAGGCAACGGACATAGTCATTTCTAGAAACAGAAAACGAATTCTTTCTACCAATACGTGCAGTTTTTTTTATTTTGTAAAGCTACTCACGCGTGATCTTGGTATCGAGTCTTTCCTATCCGATTCGTCAACCTCCATGTTTTCAATTCCTGAAGTATCCATTTCAGTAATGTTACACTGTTTATCGTTGCTTTCCTCTATTTCCATTGGTACCTCGGCATGCTGCAATTGTTGCTGAATAGACGGAGATATTGACCCTGCAAATGCCTTCGACGGCTCCGGAGTGCTTGGGGAAGTTGGAGCAATAGCATTAGACGAACTGGCAGCTGCATTGCTATTGTTTAAGCCCTCCAAGCGGGCTAACCGCCTTCTCCTCATCTGGAGCAAAAGCGAAACAAAGGAGCAGTGAGACTCGAGGCTCTTTTTGGGACTGCGTCAGGGGATACTTAAAGAAAGATTGAAATGTCTTTGTTACTCATAAGCTATTTTTATCCATCGACTTGGAGTAGCCCGTGACAACAAAGAGAACAAAAGCCTCTGGTCCATGTTATATTTTAAACGACGTGACAATACGAGAGTCTCGTTTCCTCGACGTTATTGCATTATTGCCCGGAGACGCGATGACTCTTGGAAAATAAACTGGAGAGTCATGCGCTCGTCGAGACCGCAATTTCATTACTTGCGTAAACTCACAATCCTGCTGGGATCAAAGCGTACGAAAGGAAAGGGCGTGGAACTTGATCTGGGGAGCGGAGCTCGAATCTTCGCGATTACAGAAGCTAGAGGAATCGGGTAAACATTCGTTCCCCGCAAAACGTTCGGATCGTTGTACACCGGGACAAACGTGTTGACAAATACCATGCAGATCTTGCTAAAGCACGAGGTTGACTCGCGTGGCGTCCATCGTGCGGAATCTTCCTCGCGAGCATGCGACTCGACGGGGAGGGTCCAACAAAGAGGGAACCACACCTGGTGAGGTGAGTCCCCCTCGGGCTCGAGCAACAACAATGGACTTGTCCCTCGCGTCTCCGGATAAAAAAATTGCACAAATTCGGGGGACCTGTTCGCGGAGGAGAGAGAGAGAGGGGGGGAACGGATCAGCGAGAGACGTGGTGCCGCGGAAACGAGCGTGGACCACGTTTGTCAACAAATCACGAGGGGGAGGAGGGGGAGTCCGCACCAAGGTGCACCGTCTCGGCGCTCACCCGGGAGGGCAAACGAGGTGGCCACGGAGGGAGATAAACGGGGGCGACGTGTAGCCCCGGGACCCCGTCGAGACTTCCACGGGACGGCGTCGGGGGGGCGGGAGGGGGAGGGGAGGAGGGGGACGAACACGCGCCGCGCGCTTTTCCTCAACCCACCTCTTCCTGGCTTAGCTCGCTCATGGCGATCGCTCCTCGCCTATCCCGCTCGCTCTGGCCTGCCTGGGATCGGGTGCTCTGGCTACTACGCGGCCTCGGGCCCGCTGCGCTCGGCTACGCGCCTCTTCCTCGCCGTCGCGCCTCCTCGTTGCGTTTCGCGCAAATGGGGGTGGGGGGAGGGGGGGAAGGTGCGTGCTCGACGCGTGCTCGCGCGCGACGACGACGCTCGTGGCCGGGATACGTCAATGTCAGAGATCCGGACGACAGTCACACCACATCTGTTCGCGTTTGGACGTGGATGCAGTGATCTCGCGCCGAGTCACGGCCAGACCGCTCGCTGCGTCGTCGACTCTTCAAAACAGCTGAGCAACCAACGCGTCGACACGCGCTCTCTAGTTCCCTCCGTCCTCCGCTCCCTCTCTCTCTCTCCTCGTCGTCTCCCCCTCCTCCCCGCCCCGCGGTCGCCCCACTTCTCTGTCCCGCGCGCTCGCTCGTTCTCCCTCCCTCTCTCTCTCTCTCTCTCTCTCTCGCGCCGTCGGCGTGTCGGTGGGAGTAACCTAAGCCCATTTTAGACGATCTATAATTCAGGACAAGGGTCGAATAATTTGACGTGTGACATGCCCGCGTTATTTGTGGGAGATATAAATCCGCTTTGCGCGACCTATATATTCCCGCGAACTTCTACGGCCGGTACAATTGGGTCAAACGACGCGCGGCAGATCCGTCCACGGCGGTTCGCAAGAGAAGCTCCGTCGAATTCCGCGTGCAACGAGCCCGCGACACTCGGCGCGAGGTCTCGCGGGCCCTAACGTTAACGTCGATTCACATCGCCCGCGTTCCACCGGCGAATCGAACTTTCCCGCGCGCGCGCGTCGATACGACCTTCGAGTATCGACCCGCGCGATATTTCTTTTCAAACGCGCGACCGACGGCGTCGACGAACGCGGGCTCGCGGAGAGGCGAGGAGGCGACCGACGAGCGGCGCGGATATCGCGTTCGCGCCGTCGGTACTGGGCCGCATCGTGACGCGACGTAACGCGAAACGTCGGGCGCTTGGTTGATTGACGCCGTTGAGAAATGCAGCCGCCGTCCCTCCGGCACTTTCGCGCGCGCTCGCCGCCAACTTCACGCGTCGGATTTTTCCACGCACGCGTGACTTCGCGCGCATACCGGAGCGTTTATACCGCGTTGCCCCCGATAGGTGCCCTTCACGCGTTAGGGCACCAATGACCCCGTTTGACGCACACATGTTCTATGACATAACCGTGGCTATCGCAGGGGCACAGGCCCCAGTTCTGCCGCGAGAATTGGCTCGGACTCGAGAACGCGTCGGACGCCAGCCCGGGCCGATCGGCCCGTCCCCGATTTCAAAGCGTCCGTAACCGCGGCGCGAGGTTAGGTTAGGTCAGCCGGGACGATTCAGCGCTGCTGAATCAGCAGCCGTCGGTCCGCGAGCAACAGCGAGCAACGCACGCCGTCGTCGGTGGCCGACGGCCACGTCGCGCTCTCGCTATCGCCGTCGCGGGACGCAGTCGTCGGGCGATTGTCGAGGACGTCGGTGAGCGAGAAACGTTCGCTGTCGCTGTGTTTTCGCCCGCGCCTTCATCGCGTCTCCCGCGGCAACCTTCAGCGCGTCTCCTGCGGCAACCTTCAACGCGTCTCCTGCGGGGCAACCTTTATTACAAGCCGAGATGGACGCCTGGGAAATAATCGATTTCGCGTCGCTTGGTAAACACTCGCTCTCGCAGCAAATTGAATAAGCTTCTGCTTTCGCCGTCGCGCGATATTGGCCCCGGTCGTTCGCCGCGCGGTATCGATTCTCTCTTTCGGTTGTTTCCATATGTTTTTATCGCGTGCGTGCGCGCGCGCGCTGTCGAGGGACGTTACATCCTGGCGCTTTGAGCGTCGATTTTTGTTAACCGGAAAATTCAATCGACGATTACACACGATATACAACTTTCGATAAGGGCTGCTCTCGCGAGAGGATCAAAATGATCCAGATTAAAGTGACCTTGTGCCGTGATTGGTCAATTCTGGAATTTCATTGAATAAAATTTCAATGTGATGCTGTGGAATTTCAGATCTGACCAATCACAGCGCAGGGTCGTTTTAATCTGGATCATTTGGATCTTCTCGCGAAAGCAGACAAGATTAACAAATACAATTTTTGATAGGTGCGCCGCGTCAAACAACTTGCTATTGGTGGTAGAACGCGTCGCTAAATATAACGGGTTTGAACCTCGGGTCTGAGGTCGAATCTCTGCAATGCAAAGCTTTTCATTTACGTGAATAATCATATGTTTCGATAACTTCATATTTGCGAGATAGACGAGTAGATAAGGCGCGAACTATTTCTGAATGCAAACTACCCAATAAACACAAGCGCGTCCTGTGTACGTTGTACAATGGATATCCATGCCGGATATTGTGTACATACAAAGGACGATTGTATGTACATTCATAAGTTGTCCATTAGTGAACATTTGTGGATGATTTATGGATCGTAAAAGTAAAATAGTTCATATATATGAAGATATTTAACTTCTTGAAACTGTACACGTCTCTTTGATATCATCTTGATAATATTTTTATTAGAAATCTAAAAATCGTTAGCTTTATTTCGAGAGATTGTCATCGTTGACTTAAGAAAACATCATCTCGGGTAAACCCCGATATGTCCGATAATAAGTCGCACGATGATAAGTTCACTAATGAATTTCTGATAACGAGATTTCGCGCTTTGTCTTCTCAACCTGTGTCAACTGAACGAGCCTGTTGCGTGGCTGTTGCCGCGCGCGCGATAATTAATATTATCTAATTGCACACGATTCTTATCGCATTGTTTAACGCAGTATTTTTAACGATATTTCGCAAACACGGAGATTTTTTTTCATGTTACTTCCAGATATCATCGAGAATACCGTTGCTTAAGACACGTCTATATCGCCACGATTACTTTTGCAATCAACTCTATTACGGTTAAACTTAAATTATAATTCTCCGAAATACAGTGCATCTTCAACAAATTGTAGATCACGAATTATTTAAATAAGCCGATTATAGGGCGATGTCTTTCCTAAATTTGTAAAGATTGTTTTAAGAATGCGCGCGAAATGTTGGCTCCTCCAAGTCCCATTATTGGTCGAAACGAACTCTGCGAAATTTCGCGCGCGATAGTGACGACCAATTGGATCGAAGAATACGCGTAGCGCGGGAAAATCAATTGTAATTGCAATAATGGCTGATATATTCTATCGAGAAATTGACATTGTACGTTTAAAATGGTTCGAAGGAATAACAAAGTTAATTATAAAAAAGTAAAACTACATATCGTTATACATATACGATTACATATCGTTTAATTTTATTTCGCGGCATATGTGTATTAATATATAAATATATATATGTAAATATCAATACACACATATATATATAATATGTAAATATAATATGGCAAATTTACAAGTTTCTTACGTCTTATCGCTATCGCTACCAGACGCGTCTCTAAATAAAATTACAGTTTATCTTTAAATTTTTTACACTCGAACTATATTGTTAATTACATGACGTATGCGCGTATACATTTCCCCGTTGTCCACGAATTTCTTACATGTCGATAAACCGGCTGATAGATGTGCCGTTTTGCAGATACGGACACTCAGGAGCTGATAAGAGAGAGCGTGACCGCTCGCGAGAAGTCATACTCGCCGTACAGCAAATTCAAGGTCGGTGCCGCGGTGCGATGCGCCGATGGCAGCATCTCGCGGGGCTGCAACGTGGAGAACGCGTCCTTCCCGGCGGGCGTGTGCGCCGAGGTCGCGGCGATTGCGCGGGCTATATCCGAGGGTAAGCAGAAGTTCACGGCGCTGGCTGTGGTGGCCGATCAGGAGGGCACGACGTTCACCACGCCGTGCGGGGTGTGCAGGCAGTTCATCTCCGAATTCAGCAATGACCTGGCCATCTACCTGACGAGATCCGACATGAAGAAAGTTCTACGGACTAGGATGAACGAACTGTTGCCGCTCCCGTTCCACACGAACGACGCGGAGACTTCGTAATTTCATCCTCGCACTGTCGGAGGCGACGCTCGAATAAAGCTAAGACTCCATAGATGCGTTGAGTCGTGGCAACGTGTGCGGCAATGCGAATCAGAAATTTGGCGCAAACTTCCAGCGTTGAAATTAAAGTCCTTTAATTTATTGCCGCGGTTCAACGCGTTTATGGAGTTTAATACGCGGGGGCTACAACGAAAAGCGGTCAACTTTTCTATGTGTGTACTTAATTACAGTATTCATCCTGAACGTAAATCTCGTTACATGTTATACGATTCGGCATATCAGAACGTGTCTTTATTTCTACGAAATTGAAATCGACGTATTATTTACAATGATGTGACACAGATGGGTATAGATTAGTTATTGTTCAAAGTGATCGCAATTACACTGAAAGGATTCTTTTACTGCAATCTTTTATCTTAAAAAAAATTTGGATTTTTATACACGAGATACTATCGTTTATCATATTAACGAAACGTTTTTAATGTACGCGATACGCCAGCATACATTTTGTTTGTTGTAACTTGTTACTTCATTACATACAAATAATACAATAACAGATTATATGTGTGTATGTATAAATATATATGTATATATGTATATATACACACACGTATATATACATTATATGAGATTACCTTAAAATCGTAAACATAATTTGATAAAATGATAAATGCAAAAGCGATTGCACACGTATGAGACCTTGATTCATCCTTTATAAGAAGATTCGATCTCTTGTTTACCAAAACGGACACCTGTAATAAAATGCGGCAATCAGATTGATGTCTACATTTTTAACCATAATTTATATACCATTGTTTCTTATAAAATTAGAGTAATCTCTAAGCAAGTTGTTTGTACATCTATATATAATAAAAGATGGATATGTTGTAAATGACCAAAATAAATAACTGATGTTCTCGAAACTTTATGGCTATAAGTCGTTACGTACCATCCGATATAACATTGGCAAAGGTTTTCGTTATTTGTAGCCTGCTGAATCAACAGATCGACTTGTTGCCGGACGCTGAGAGTTTCCTCGTGCGAGAAGTCACGCCCTGTTAACTTATCTCTGACCCTCGTTATAATCGCCAAGGCTTTCTTGTTCAGCGCTTCCGGTTGATTATTATCGGCTGCAAACATTGCAAAAGCGCAGCCTGTAGATGTCATGTTAAAAAAAGATTGTACATCATATTCCTAATTCTTTTTAAGTTTAATTAATTTTTATTAATGTCTTTATACCACTAATATGCGCCATACAAGCAACACCAAGTACAAATTTAAAAGCAATGAATTTATCGCAGGCAATGCTCAGTTAAAGTGATTTAAAAAAAATATAATTACCTTTACCTCCATTTTCTATGCTACACGGCACACCCTTCTTTGGTAACGTGGCGGTGAGAGAATCGAGCATGTCGCCGTGTTCCTGACTGCTGCTGGCGCTCATGCCCTGAGCGTCCGACCGTTTGCCTTTAGGTACCGCATTGTCCATCAATCTCCAATTGAGGAGAGGATCATAAACGAACGCCTCTAACACTGCCATTAGACTATCCTTGTTTCTATGCAACACAGACATCACGGATTCGCAGGTCCTTCTATACGTTCCTTCGATTCCAGTCACCTCCATTGCGTTGATCAACATCCGCGTCAGACGGAACGGTATCTTCTCCGGGAATTTCTCGCGGGTCATCGCCACCTCGAAGCAATCTCCGAAGTCGATGTGCAATATCTTACCGCTGAGACGATCCAGCATCAAATTAGATGGATGACGATCACCGAGACCGAGAATGTATCCCACCATGGACATCACAGCCAGGGAGCGCGTATAGTTCGTCCTACGATCGAACCATACTTCGCTCGACGGCGACTTCAGCCACAAAAGTCGTGCCAGGTCGTCGCCATGAGTATGCTCAAGTGCGTGCTCAAACACTTCAACCTTTTGCATGAGCATGAGATGATCGTAGTCAGGTGCCATCTAGAAAAACATAAAATAATATGGATACTAGAGGATAACGCACATGTTGCTTTGTGAAAGCAGTCAATCCCAGGTTTCATTCTGACTTTTCCATATGCCTAAGTTTTACACGAGGTTGATCGAACAACATATGAGTGAACATACGAGGTGAATACCGTTTTGGAAATCTATATTTTAATATGGATATGAAATAGATGTGAGAATAGAAAATATGTCGTCGTTTATCTTCTAACGTATGCTAGAAAAGTTTTAATATAAACATAAAGCGTGTGGCGAGTGTGGCGTAGAGAAATGTGCGCTGTTTAGTAAACAAATGAAGGAAAAGATCCGAGTTCAAATCCACGAACACCACTGGTTTTTTCGGAATTTTCCGAAGGGAAGTGGTAACCACCGAGAGTATCCTGCCACACATATCCTTTTAGGGGTACAGCCCTCCAGATTGGAGGTTTTCTTCGGCAAGGTTGGCAGCTTACCGAAGATGAAGTAAATGCTCAAAGTACCAGTTCGTTCTGGCACAGAGCTGGTACAGAACGAACTGGATAAAACAGGCTTTTAAGTCTAACACGATGAAGAAGATTTATAAAGTCCACTCACTCGTAACATTATCCTGTGTTCGATATTCAGTAATATCTTCTTCTTTTCTCTGTAATCTCTAATAAGCGTATGGAGCGTATCACAATGTGGCACCCAACCGATCAGACCACTGTTTGTGGACAATGGAATCACAGCGTATCTCTAAACACAAGATCACAATATATGAGTGACATACATTTCTCTAACGGTTATAATTATAATATAATAAATCAAATTATTACTTGAATAGTAAGATTTCTTCGGAAGGTGTCCGGGTCATGTAACAGGAGAGTGTTAACTAAACCGAATAGCTGCATTACCCTCTCATCTTGCCTTAGATCCTCGTGACCTTTCAGCAGGAACATATAATCCTTACCGTTGCTACCTGCAAGATACACGTTAAAGTAATGTTATCCATATATCTCGCCCAATATTTCTTTTTGTTTACTTTCAAGTGGTAACTGACCTTTAATACACAGCTTTCTTGGTCGCTGTTTACTAGTTATCACCTGCATAGAGCTGTGAATACTCGCTATTCTCACGATTGGCTGGCCTGGGCTGTAGCTTCCCGGCACAGCCAACTCCAAATCTCTACAGATGAGCAGCTTCGGGCTAACATATTGCAATTCCAAACTGGTCAGTTGCGGCAATTGTCGGGATATCCTACGGAACACGTGATAATACAAATCCCAAGCTTGATTCAAGTCTCTCACGTTCCGAGATGCTTTGTATCTGTGACACCATTCCTGTGCTTCCATTAGATCCCTTCCATAAGCTTGATTGAAGGAGGTCTCCTTTAGAGTTTGCGGCCCTCTTTCGAGCATGGCGTGTAAGGGTTCCAGCGTTTCCAACATGCCTCTGACGTTCCTCTCTCCAAAGTACAATCTGCTAGCCTCTTCGAGACCCTCGTGCCACAGCTCGTGCCACAAAATCGCGACCCTGATGAGCTCGTCGCTCGCCATTATGGCCTGCTGGACCAACGTCGGACTGTGCTCACACATGCTCTTCAGGATTTTGTTAGCCGCGGTCTTTCTCGCATGACTGGCACTTTTTGATGCCACCGTCAATGGATAAACCAAAGCCTGAGGATGCGTCTTTCCTATGTCTATGAGAAGATGATGTATGCATCGGCCGACCAGTGCCCGAGGAGTGTCGATTCTGGCAATGAGTTGTGGAATCACTTGCAGCCAAGTATTTATCTCTATTAATCTTATGCCTTCGACAACAGCGTCATACACCTCCGGCCACTGGCCATAATCGAACCAGAGCGTGAGCAAGCGGAGGGTGTCCTGAAGAGAGTTGCCATGCGACAAGTTGATGGATTTGAAAAATCCCTCCACAGCTGGGACAGTGAACTGAGATATGTATTGCGAGCTGGATAGATTATTGCGCGCTCCGTTGCCCGGTGTAGCGCCCTCCACGGGCGCAGTCTCGCTCCCTTGCTGATGCTTGTAAAACAAAACGGTCTCGTAATTGGTGTAGGCGAAGGCATGCCAGGCTTTGTACCACATGGGATCGTGCTCCGTCGCTGCGGCGTAGTAAGACAGCACCGCAGGTATAGAGTGCTCGTTTATACCTTGCAGGGACTCGAGCCACTCGCCGAGCTTGAGGTAGCATCTGGCGAGCAGTCGCTTTTTGCTCTCGTGCTGCTTCTCGTCTTCCTGATTCATTATTGCCGCCGTCGTCGGCTGCAAGTACGTCTGTACGAATCGCTGCAGCTGACCGTAAGCTTCCTCGCGTTTGTTCGCGACCCACAAGTGCTTGCAATAGGCGAAGGTCACCTGGGGGTGAGTGGTCGGCAGCGGCTGGTCCGGAATCAAGGATGGGTCAGTGCCCATCAGCATCACCAGAGTCTTGTGACAGAGCATCAGACTACCGCTCTTCCGGCAGAGACTGGCATATTTAAGCCACGTGTACATGTCGTCGTGCGGCGAGACCACCAACGTATGCACCTGTATGATCTTCTGCCAGTCCTCTACGATCTTCTGTCCACCCTGAAGCCTCTCCCACCACATGGCCTTGATGGCCGCTCTGCGTTCAGGTACCAGTTTAAACTGAATCACCTCCTCCAACTCCGCCAACTTCTGCACCTCCACCATGGCGTTGTATGCTCGCTGGTAGCTTTCGCCAGCCATGGCGGTCAGTTCGGTGTCCAACAGATCCCTGGCGCTGTCGATAAACTGATGCGCGATGTTATACTGTTCGTCGTGGATCGCCAATACAGCTCTGTAAAACGCTCCGTCTTGAGTGTCCTTCGGTATCAGCGAAACGTACTTCTGCATACTTTCCCATTGACTCAAACCCCACGCCGCAGCCGCCGCCATCCTCGACATTCTTTGCTTGTTGTCGTCGCTCTGATTCGTCCATTGCTTCGTAGCGACGTCGTGCAATTGGCCCCACTCTCCGAGAGCCTCCAGGCAGCGCATCTGCCCTAAGGTCGACTCCACGTCCGCGCAATCGCTCTCCAGACGTTCCTGGTACAGCTGCAACGCCTTGTCCCAGTTGTGAAGCTTCTCGTACCAACGTATTTGGACCTTGAGATCTTGCTGGTTGTGATTCATCACGTACTCCAGCAGGCCCTCGGCCGCCTCTTTCTGCTGAAGCTTGTTATTAATTGAAATCAGGGACTCGAACACGCTGCTGTTTCTGCTCTTATGAAACTCGTCCTCCTTGTAGTGCAACGCCTTGGCGTAGGCACGACAGTGCATCGCCGTGTCACCGAGAATCTTATTGTCCAACGGCAGGGGGCCCTTGTCGCAATGCTCCATGAACTCGGCCAGATTCAAAATGGTCTGCGTCACTTCGGTAGGCAGGTCGGGTACCATCAACGCCTGATGCAGAGTCTGTATCAGTTCCATCCGGTGATTCTCGCCGAGTTCGGTCCAGCACGAAACGAAAGCCGCGTTGAACAGGTCGCGCGGTAACACGGCGTAGGTTTGCGCCAGCGCCCAGCAGGATCTCAGAGCCGGAGACGGGGATTCCTTGAGCAGACCGATCGAGAAGCACCGCAGCCACTCGAGCCAATCGTCCTTGGACACTCGTCGCGTCGCCGTCCACGCCTTCTGCAGGTTCGAGGCCGACACGTTCAGTTTCTTGATCGTGGTCGTTTCCGAGGGCGTTAAGGAGAGCTCGCGGTTCTTGTTGCGCGAGTGTCGCATCCTCATAAGCAGGAAATCCTCGCCGTCCGCCGCGGTCGAGTCCGTGAGTATCTTGTCCACCAGAACGTCGTACCGCGAATTGACTATCTTGTGCTTCGTCATAACTTTCTGGACTAACACGATGAATATCTGATACTTCTTGCCCAGCTGCATCACAACGGCGCAGAGTGTGTCCATGGCCGTGCCCCGTAATTCCGGGCATTGGTCCAACGTACGTACCAAGGTGTGCACGATTCGCGACGCGAAATCCGTAAAATCCAGCGTGTCCGCGAGGAGATCGACCGTCTCGAGGGCGACCTTGTTCACGGCTATCGGGCAATCATTCGCGTAGAACAGTTTCACGATCGGCGGGAGTACGAGATGCAGGTAATTGTCCAGATTGTTCCCGAATGTTTGCAGAGCCAGAAGCAGCTTCACCGTCACCGCGCGGTCCTTGCTGCTGTCGTGGGTCAGCACTCTCAGTATCGGCGGCATCAGCTGCGGCAGATAGATCTTGAACTCCGCGCCCAGGGCCATCGCGATCTGCTCGACCAAAAGTATGAGCGTGCTCTGCAACGGGCTGTTCACGATCCAGAATTCTTTGATCAGCGTAAATATGTCATCCAGATAGTTGCGTATGTGTTGCTTCACGATGGCGATGAGAACGGCGAGCTGCTGGAAGAGAAACTCCCGGAAGTTTATGTCCGCCATGTGCACGACGTTTAGGAAGCTCGGCATCACCTGCGAGATGTACGGCACGCATTTTATCCCGAGGCTCTTGAATATGAAGGTCACCGCTTGCACCACCATGGTGTGATGCTGGGACAAGGTCGGCTCGCGAATAATACGCATGAGCGTCGTAATGGCGATCGCTGGATAAAATTCCTCCAGGGTGGACGGCGACATGTTCACCAGCATCTCGCTGGTCGTTAAGTCCTGGGTGTTCTCCACGTCGCACTTGGCGTCCGCCATCGAGCTAAGCGTGTCCAACTGGCAGTCGATCTGCCCGAGATTCATCTTGTGCTTATAGGGGTCCAACGCACCCAACTGCCCGAGCACTCTGATCGCCTCTCTCCTGATGATCGGCTGCTGCTCGGTCTTGAGGAAATTGATGAGGATGTCCAGCAGGGACGGATACTGTATGTACGGCTTCACCACGTGTCCCGTGCTGCCGACCAACTGGCCGAACACCCACAACGCCACCCCCCTTTTCTCGGGCGAGCTTGCGTCTACCAGCATTTCCAATAGTATCGACGAGAGCTCGGACATCCACTGCTGCATCTCGGCGCCGTTGACCTCCGCCAGATCGCCGATCGCGCGCAGAACGGCCAGCACCACGCCAGGATTCGGATCGGATTCCTTCAGCTTCGGGACGAGAACCTTCAGGATCGGCTCCATGTACGGCCGGACGAGCCTCGGCGCAGTCACGACCAAATGGTCCAACATTCGAGCGGCCTGCTCCTTGTTACGACCCATCCCCGAGTGCTCCAGCTCCGTCAGAAATTGCACCAGAGTCTTCCGCAACGACGGCATAACGTAAGCGGGATTCAGCGTGCTGAGTCGTCCGACGGTACGGACCGCCAGTTCCCTTATCTCGAACATCTCGTCGTTCATGGCGATAAACAGCGCGGACAGATTCTCCGCCTGCGCCAACTGGACGTCGAAGGAATCGTCCAGCGAGGCCAATACCCACAGACGCACGTCGGGATCAGTGTCGGTTATTCCCACTACCAGTAATTTACCCAGAACAGTCGAGACGGTGGTGGTTACCGTGGGACCAGACTGATTCAGCGTTAATCTCAGTAATCTGGAGCACGTCTTGACAGCTTCCAGTCGGACCTCTGCCTGTTCCGACGTCAAAAAGTGGTCCGCGCATCTCTTGACGAACTGCAGCAGCGGATTATTGTCGAAATTAAAGGTACCGAGCGTTTTCAGTGCGAGTACCGTCGACGAGACGTCATCCGCCGCGGAGTTCGGGCTGGTCGCGGTCCACGGTGCACCGGGATGTCTCAGGGGCTTCTGCATCAAGACTTGAGACAGCATGCGCAAGAGACCCTGAGATATGTCCACCTGCAGAGACGGTATGCTGTGCGCCAGCTCTCTGAGCGCCGTCGTCAAGATCGGGCTCAATCCAGTCTGGAACATGGGCTCCAACAAGTCCCTCACGTCGGAGGCTATCACCTGCTTCACCGCGTGACTGAGCAAGGTGATGCAAACGAACACCGCCGGCTCCAGGGAGGTACGCTTCTTGCTCGGGGTCTCCTTAGACGGTAGCAGACTCTTGATCATTTCCATGATTTTCGGCAGATACGGATTTATCGCGTCTTCCACCGCCACGGCTATGAAGCCGATCGACGTGAAGGCGGCGTAGCGATCCTTCTCACGGCTGCGCAGGATCAGCAGCAGATACGCCAAGGACTCCTTCAGATGATCCCTTATGAACTTCTCCTTGTTGAACGCGGCGAGCCTCGGCAGCAGCATCATGAGGGCGTGCTGAATATGCGGATTCCTCGATATCTTTTGATTCATAACGTCATTGTAAATCTCGTCCAGCCTCTCCTGCATCAAGCATCGGCAAACGGTCGACTCGTGCGCCGGATACAACGTGTGCTGCGACGCGGTGGCGTTCTGGGTGGAACCGGCCCATTTTGAACCTATCGTCGTCTTCAAGCGCGGCATCAGGCAGATTATGTCGTTCTCATTCTGCGTAGAGCCGTTCAGTCTTTCCATTAGAGCCTCGTAGTTCCTTTCCCACTGGACATTGCTGCATCTCAGCAGCTCGTTAAGCACCAACAGCGAGCCGTGTATCCTGTCGTCCCTGTTAATGCCCTTCTCCTTCGTGTGAACCTCCGCGAATCCGTCTATTACCTCGTCGTAGCACTGCTTGTACCATTGCGACTTGTGCATCTGCTTCACCGTCTCCCTCTGAGCGGTGACCACCAAGGCCGCCCTCAAGGCTTCCACCGCGCCCTCCCGTACGGCGGGCTTGGGATCGTGTATAGCGTTGAATATCAACTCGAAAAACGGCGTAACTTGTTGGAAAAAGTACGTTGGCACGGAGACAGCGAGCTCTCTCAGAACGAGGACGGCGGCGTGCTTCCTGCCCTCGTGTCTGTCCGTGCCAAGCCACTCGAAGGCACGCTTCACCTCGAATTCGACGTACTCGGCTGTATAAGTGCCGGAGACTAGCGCCAACTTCCCGACGGTCTTCGCGGCTAATTGCATGACGCCCACGTCGTTGGAAGGTATCAGATTCCTAAGGTAGTTGGCGAAACGTACCGTTCGCGTATTAAAATTACCTACATCCGCCCCTATAAGGCAAACTATGGCCAATATACCGCCCTTCTTCTCGTTAATGTCGGAGGCGGATACCATTTCGAAAATGTGATGATTGAACTCGTCCATGAATGCCGTGATCTCCTCCTGCGACGCCTCCCGCAGCTCCCGCTTGACGTACAGGCACAGGTCGCGCGCCGCCTTGTTACGCGCCTCCTCATTTCTCGACTTGAGTCGCTGGACAAACTGCTGCATCAGCATATTCGACATCGTTTCAATTGTCGGATGTGCAAATCAGGATGTAAAATGTAACAATCCGGATTCCCATCGGATTCCTCTCGTCAGGTGCTCTGAAAAAAAAAGAGGAATCGTCTTTGAATATTGTCCAATGTTCTCAAACGGGGACTCGGTTCTTGAATTCACTCGAAGGAGAAACGTACGCGAAAGTTCTGCTCTAGCAGACAAGTTGCAAGTTGACTGGCTGCTCGTACGGTTTTCAGCCAATCGACTTTCAACAAGGGGGAATCCACTGACCAAAATCTTGTGCACCAATGCCCGCTAATGCCCAGTGGGGTATTACTATATCTAATTTACTTTGTCTTATCTCATTTTATCTTACTTTATCTTTATAATGCCGTGGCAAGGCCAATGCTCAAACCAATGCCCCAAAAATACCTAGTAATGCCCAGTGGGCATTGCTATATCTTATTTATTTTGTCTCATCTCATTTTATCTTACTTTATCTTTATAATGCCGTAGCAAGGCCTAATGCTCAAACCAATGCCCCAAAAATACCTAGTAATGCCCAGTGGGCATTGCTATATCTTATTTATTTTGTCTCATCTCATTTTATCTTACTTTATCTTTATAATGCCGTAGCAAGGCCTAAAGGCCATTCTACAATTGCGTAAACGTAGTTGTAAGGTTGTAGGAGTAGAAATAGTAGTAAGTGTTGTATATTAAAGTAATATACAATAGAGTGAGATACGTCATAATTCAAGTGAATGATTGGTTGATTTTTACGTTTTACATCGTTGTAGTCGTGAAAGATGAAGTTCAACCATCTTTTACAACAGGCTTTACAATCGGAAATGCTAGATTAAAACTGTGTTTTACAACACCCTACAACCGCTAACAACCACGTTTACGCAATTGTAGAATGGCCTTAAAGGCCATTCTACAATTGCGTAAACGTAGTTGTAGGGTTGTAGGAGTAGAAGTAGTAGTAAGTGTTGTACATCAAAGTAATATACAATAGAGTGAGATACGTCGTAATTGAA